TTTTTTTTTTTTTTTTTTTGTTTCTTTGTTTTTTTGTTTCATCGTCTCTCCACCCGATGGGAAGTTGAAGTTCGATCGTGAGTTTCGTTCGAGAGAGATCGTAATTTTCGGATATCGAATATCGATGGAAATTTCACGATTGCGAGCCGAAGACGATTCTTCTCCTCTGGATTAGATTGGAACTAGAATCTTCCAATCCGATCCAAGAATTTTGTCATAACTCCGTTTTGTTCTTCCCCCCTCCCCCCTCTCTCTGTTTCTCTTTCACGCGCGCGCGTGCCTATTGTCTGCTGCTTCCTCGGCACGAAGCACGTAATTTTAAAAGATCGTCTCCAAATCGGAGAGATCGAACCTGGCCTGAGGTTTCGATCGACGAGTAGTTTCTTTTCTTGGGGGGAGGGGGGAGGGGGGGGGAACGAAATCTGTCACGCGATTCACCGCAAAACGAACGAATTACGTAGACGAAAAAAAAAAAAAAAAAAAGAAATCGAGCACGTGCGTATACAACGTATGAATGCGTGTGCATGTGAGAATGTGTATACATGTATGTATGTATGTATGTGTGTATGTATGTGTGTGGGTGTGTGTGAAGAAACGAAAGAGAAAGAGCGAGAGAGCAAGAAAAAGATTAAAAGAGCCACTGCCTTAGCGACAGCAGGATTTGTGCTAGAAACAAGGCCTTAGAAAGTAACAAACCAGAAACATAATTAGCTAAGTAAGTCTGTTGTTGTTAACCAAAAAAAAAAGTGAAAAAAGATAACGGTACTTAGTGAAACGGAAGAAGGACAAAAAATGATGTTATGAACGTAAATTGTAAAACTAATTAGCAAATTGTATTTAAGCGCGTAACGTAAAGAAGAAAAAAAGAAAAAAAAAAAAGATATACATATATACTTAACCCCTCGTGCCCGCAATTAAATAAATAGGCGTATTATTACGCGTAGTTTTACGTAGGATTATTAAACGTCGCTTTGTCGCATAACGATGATGAAGAATTATACATACGGTGGGGTGGGCGGAGTAGGGGGAATCGGTGATTAAAGAAAAAAAAACAGAAAAAAAGAGAAAAAGAAAAAGAGAGAGAGAGTGAGAGAGGAAGGTGAGAAACGGTGTGAAGAGAGGAGAAAAGCGGTGAGAAGAACGCGTCGCTTTTAACTACACGAGCGTCGGCACTCGTGAAATTTTTTATCTTTCTCTTTGACATTGTTTTCTGCTCTTGCCTTACGAAAACAACAAAACGAAACGAAACGAAACGAAGGGGAACGAGATGAGACGAGACGATATGAAAAAGAAGGGGGGGAAAAAACAGCAAGCGTGGTGCCGATCGCCACAGGTTGAGAAATCGTTGAACGAATGACGAACACTCGAGATCGAGGGGTGGGGGGGGGGGGGGGGCTGGAAAAAAAAAGAAAAAAAAAGAGATTTCCGATAGCGCGTCGCACTCGAAACTACCACTTTAAATCCGATGTTAGCGTAGCGTACGTATCGTAAGCTGTCGACATTTATACTATGAACTATGAAGTAATTGTAGCGATCATTGTGAACATAGTTAATAGTATAGATTAGTTAACCGCACTAATTGTACCGAAAAAAGTGGATTACATTTAATTCCGAAAAAAAAAAAAATAAATAAATAATTATCAAAGTCCTTACTTCAGTAAACGCGTACGCGAGTCACGTTGTTGTGCGCGAGTCACAGCCGAGTTAAATAAAATTACGAATGGAAGAGCGATGACCAGCAGACAAAAGTGAAGAAGAATGAGGAAAATGTTGCGTGAGACGAACGTGTGTATGTGCGCGTGCATGAGAGCGAGAAGAAGGGAGAGAAAGAGAGAGAGAGAGAGAGAGAGAGAGAGAGAGAGAGAGAGAGAGAGAGAGAGAGAAAGCAAGTACGTTCGACTATGCGAGCACGCGAGTAAAAGAAGGAAGAGAGCAACTGTGAAACTCGACGACGAATAAGGATCGGATGTATTGTCGAAATAGAAAAAGAAAAAAGAAATAGACAGTGTTGGAAAAAAAAGAAAAATTGGTTTCTTCAAAATGCGTCGCGGAGGGTGAAACGAATTCCACCGAACCCGTCATCTTGGTGCCGAGCACGTGACAACCGATGGTCTCGACTAGACTACCTATTTGCCTATATACATATTTTCTAATTTTCGATGAGTTTACGATCGTTGCGTATTCGAAACAGTTAACCTCTTGCGCTGCAATGACGTGTCACGCACGTCGAGAATTCTTTTGTTCCAAAATTGCAATATTTTCTCAGTTTCAAGTATATTTAAGTAAAACAAAATAGGCAAAACAAATAATAAATCTGTTACTTCTCAATAATTTCTGTCCAGTGATATCGTACCGACGAGTTCAAAAGAAAAGCGACGAATTTATTGTATACGGTTCGGTCACTCGTTATGGTCCGCAATCGGTTGCCAGCGCAAGTGAGGTTAACCATCAAAAATGTGATTTGCTTCGAGTCTGTGTGGTTCATCCTGATCCCTGTGACGATTCTCCAAGCTATCGAAAAGTTGTTTTTCAACGATCTTACAAACGTTCACCCCCAGGATACAATGACGAAACACAACCAATTGCTAATTGATAATTCAATTAATTAGATCCGATTTCAACGGTCAAGTAATGCTACGCGATACATGTCAAGTTGGATTAAATCGTCCAGAAACTCGCGATTCGATCAATTGTTTTTTTTTTTCCTTAAAATCCAATGGTAATTACATTTTCTTCATTCTTCATCGTTTTTGATTCGTTGAAATTTCTCTTGAACTGAGGCAGCGTTGACTCGTAAAATTTGACTGTACAAATTGTTTCTGATTTCTGATTTACACATACACACATATTCTCTCTCTCTCTCTGTTAAAATTTGTCCTCTCTCCACAAAAATCGCTCTCGGTGAAACCTTCGAGATTGGTTCACACTTCATCGTTTTTCTCCCCTGTCATCGTTCGCGTCTCTTCTTTTTCCCCCATTTTCTCTCAACGCTAGAACTACCGACGACAAGAGTATAACATATTCAGCATTAGCAAAGAAATTCAAAGGCAAGAAAAAGTTCTACAAGCTCCTGTCAATCATGTTTTATTAAAAATCACTTGTGTCGGTTTTAATAAATACAGTATTACAAATATTATAAAATTACCATAAATGTAGAAATGTTTCGACCACTTTGGTAATTTTAGCGTTAAGATCGAGCGAGCCACTGTCGAGGTAGTCGGTTGATCCAACATACAGAGGAGAAATTCGAATACAAGGCCACACTTTTAATTCTAATTGGAACATAGACAATAGGAAACAGCTTGGTCCACAAGGATCACAAGAGTGGGGGGGGGGGGGGGGAGAAAAAAGAAGGGCGATGTGACACTAGGAATTATCGATATTAGAGAAGAAAACGTGTTAATAATAATAATAGTGATAATATAGCCGGTGCTGATGACGCCACGCATTTTGAAGACTTACCGATTGCAACCAATAGAGAAATCCACGGATTTTCGATTCTCCTTGCGTTGCGCCACACAGTGGGAATTATACCATATAAACTGCACGACGAAACGCGCGAGTAGATCTGTAATTTAGTTTGAAGATGGTGAAACGCGCGAATAGAGCGGGGAGAATAAAAAAAAGGGGGGGGGGGGGGGAACGGGAGTGAAGAGACGGGAGGAAAGATCGTGTCCGTGATATGCATATGCGTGTGTATGAGGCGTGCGAACAGCGGAGAGGAAGATACTTTTCAAAAAAAAAAAAGAAAAAAAAAGAGAGAGAGAGAAACATTAGAGTTCCGTCTTTGAGTGTTGGGGAATGTTCATTTGTAATTGTTTAAATCTAACGAGAAATGTACTGTAAAATTATAAGTACTATAGGCACTAAAAATATATCATTTGTTGACATGAAAAAATTAAAAAAAAAAAAGAAAAGAAAGAGAAATCATCCCAGTAATATATATATATATATATGTATATATATATATATGTATATATATATACACGTAAATCATTCCTGGCAATCCGTTGTTGCCCGCGCGTGCAGCAGACGTATGCGACACGCGTGATGATGTAAAAGTGACGTTAGGCCACGCGAGCTAACAGCGAAAGGATATATACATACGTGCGTGTGTGTGTTACGCTATAAGAAACCGCGATGCTGCTCTAGGCTTCTAGACGAGTTAGTCTGCCAATCGATCGAAAAGAAAAAAAAAAAGATTAAGTCAATTAGATGCCCCGTCGAATACGAGATCGTTTCTAGATACTTGTTCCTGCTAAAGAGTCGTAAGGGTAAATGTTCGAAACGAGTAAATCATAGGTGTTCAGAGAGCAACGCTTTTTAGCAAGATCCTCCCACTTCGTCGTTTTACTAGCCGACACTCGTTACGTGGGGTAAGTAGGACACAATGGTTCTTTATAAACTAGTAGCTAATGACACAATCGTTCAACGTGTAAAGGGGAAAAAGAGAAAGAGAGAGCGTCAGGGATCGGTGTTGTGCCTCGAGGAGCATTGAACAAATAATTGTCGAACCACAGATTTTGCATGAAAAATTTCTATTCACGACGTGTAGATTATATCGATATGTACAACGATAAGAATTATAAAATCCGTGTTATCGTTAGTTTCCTGTTTAAAAGTAAACTTTAAACGTAAACTTTCCGTTTTACATCTTTTGTTACGGAATATGTGTACTCGTAAATACAAAAAAAAACAAAAAAAAAAAAAAAAAAGATCGTTCGAACAAATGCAACGGATGGCTCCGCTTTTCTCGTTGAAAGTAATTTTTCTTTTTCTTTTCTTCTTTCTTTTCCAAGCCATTGGACGTTTAATTATACGCGGTTAGAGATATAAATTATATAAACTGCTATTGAGAGACGATTCCAGCATCGACGCAACGACGGCATAAATAAATAAGCGTGAACATTAAATAAAAGTAAGAAGTAACAGAAATTTGTGTTTCTTCGGATTATCGCCTTGTTGTTTCCGACGACATCAGACGTGTCTGTCGCTACTGATGCTGATGGTGTTGTTGCTGATGTTGCGTCCCCTTGACGAGAGTTTCCATCTTCGACTGATTCTCCGAGGGAGGCGGAGATTGCTTCGTCTTCTTCTTTTCTTCCTCGTTTTCTTTCACCGATGGAAGTGGCAGTGCATTCAGTAAACCTTATTAAAAAAAGAACTGCTTGTAACATAAATTTATTAAGTGGAAAAAATAGAAAGAGAGAGAGAGAGAGAGATTTAGTTCAATTGAATGATACAAAAGGTGAAAGATTGCTTACCAACTGTTTCTCCTTTAAGGGATGCACCTGGCATGTTAAAAAAATAGGAATAATTTTTTCACATTTTAACGCCAAGCCTCAATTTAAGACATGACCTCTTAAAACATGAGTGAAGAACATACCGTTACCACGATATTTGTTTAATTGCTGATAGACCTGCTTCATTCTCTCGATATTAATCCTGGAACTTTTGCTGTGATTCACCATCGGTAACGAGTAGTCTTTGCCGACGATACACTTGGCTGCACGCTGCACGCTGAGAGGTGCGTTCCACGGCTCGTGGATGTATCTTGTCGGGAAGTTTTTCAGAACCGGCAAGTATCGTCTGTAACAAGATAGATCGCCAGAGAGTGTAACGGGTACAGTTTGACAACTGCGTGTATTCTCTTAGTGAATATGAATCAAGGTTACCTGATGTAATCGCCATTTGGGTCGGCCTTTCTGCCGAATCTCACCGGGCAGTAGCAGTGAAAGAATTGCTGGAAGAAAGAACTGCACGACAACCACATCCACATTCCCGCGTTCACCGACCAGTCGGCATCCAGCAGTAGCTCGTCGAACACCTTGAGAATAATTTCAAATGAATATTATGCGAAACGTGAACAAGAGAGATGATCAAGGGAAACGAGGCTACGTAGCAACAAGTGAAACAATCACAAAACAACAGAAAAAGACTATGTAAGCTAGCAGCAATGTTAGTACGAATCCCGAGCGTTAATATTTTCTTGAGTTGATCCAAGTTAACCGTTTATAATTTTCATTGAAACGAGTGGCAAGCATGAAGATATTTCACCTTCATCCCTTCTTCCCAGGAGATCCAAAGGTCACCTCTGGTCAGGAAACAGGCGACCGCGTGTCTAGCCAAGTGATGTATCCAACCCTCCTCTCTCAGTTGAGTCATGATCGCATCGATCCACGGAAATCCCGTTTGGCCCTGTACGACAAACGTCTTTCGAGTTTTTTGTGCAAACTCAAAAAAAGAATAAGGAACGACAGACGTTCTCGCGTACGGACGAATCTCACTCACGTTTGCCCACTTGGCGAGTGCCTCGACGTTCTTGTCCCAAGGGATCTGCACGCAGATTGGATTGCCCTGCATCCGATCGAAATTCGGGTTCTTTGTCGCGGCGCAGTAAAAGAATTCGCGCCACAAAAGCTGCCCGTGCAACGAGAGCGGCGGAACCGCTTTTTTTATCTGAAAAACCATTGGACATGGATTAAGGCTCGAGTTGCAGTTGTAAGAGCGTAATTATCGTGAGCGGATTTATTCAAATAAAAGTAAAGACCACCTTTACCTTTTTGTAGAGATCAGTGAGCTGATAATAAAATAGCCGGGTGCTTAGGCATCCAAATCTTAAATACGGCGAGAGGCCGGTTTGACTGGGCAACAATGACTGCGGGGTCATTTTCGGTCTACCGAAACTAGCCACCCAAGCTTTCCTCTCAAGGTGGCGCTCCAGCCGTGCCAGAGCTTCGCTCTCGCCTCCGACCCACACAGGTGGAAGAAGACCTTCCGTGTCGAAGCCTAAAATTGGAGATTTAGAGAAATCAAACTGGTTCCATTGTTCTCGGACGTGAACAAACAGCAAGTAAATTTTACCAAGTTCTTCGAGCGTTGGGACACCGTAATGATCGTCGTGATCTTCCTTCAACGGAGTGTAGGCCGAGCCTACGCAAACGGAAGTAACGGTGGGCACCGGTGGTTCCGGAGGATCCATGCTGGCAACCACGGTTTGAAATTGGTGATAGGTCAACGGTGGCTTCCCTCCGTTCCTCTCGATGATCCTGAAACCAGAATTTTCAATAAATTGGCATGTACAATCTTACTTCTAGATTCGATGGCCAAGAAATTTAAGGTTTAAGGCCAAGGATACGTAAAAACACTTATGAAATGGACGTGCTTCAACCCAGCGTGGCAAATCAAGGAATTTCAAAACCATTTGACCACTTAGAAAACTCTAATCTAGGCCGACAAATTTAGTCAGTCTCAAGTGCGTGCTCGAAGGATTGTGCAGGCAACGGGATCATTTTCACAAAAATAATAACCATTCCCGATGGGAAATTTTGAAAAGCTTAACACATCCTCAGAGTTCTTTGGAAAGATCAATCCAAGGCTCGTTAAAGGACTTTGAGAGAATTAAGGTAATCGTCAGGAGTCTTTTAAAACAGTGTTAAACGGCAGAAATCATGCCAGAACATCTTGGACAGAAGGCAAAGAGAAATTATGAGAAGTTAATAGTATTCAATGGCAGTAATCATCAGTAATCTTCAACATTTTGATTCGAGCAAGAATCTAGTAGAAGCCATCAGTCTTTATATTACACAATAAATATTATAGTCCATAGTTCTTCATTTCCCACATCAGTGGGATGGTGGTCCTTCGAATTCCCAGGAATATATGCAGAGATGCACAATTGATATTAGTCCGTGACTGTCTTTAACATTACAAATATTATCAACAAGACAAAAGGAACATTCTCCGGGGCAGAAATCAAAAGGCACGCATCGACGATCATCATCGTGGATCAGTTGGTGTTGGGAGGAAAAATAAATTCGAGGGTAAAGCTACTTATTGCTCGAATAAAAGCAACATCTTTCGACACTCACTCGTCCAACTTGTAGAGGGTATGCGAGACCCTTTGGACCACGGAGATACCAAGCTCCTTGCACAACGCCGAAATATTATGATCTCGGACGCGTCCAAATGGCTCTGAATCTTCCTCGAAGGTCAGGTTCGTGGTGCCCCACTCCTTGAACAATTTTGGCAGAGCATCCGCCGGTTGTCCCCGTATCACGAACAACCTGGAGTTCAATTTCCTCAAGGAGCAGTCGAGGTCCTCCAAACACTGCAGCAGGAATCTGTCGACAAACTGAAAATTGCAAACTCTCTGCGAAGTGATTTCTTATTGCTTGTTATAATTTCTCAATGTAACAAAAATAGAAAGTAGTAATTATAATTAAATACCTATTCTAGTAATTTCTTATTATTTATACTTTATATTTATTTATAAATATAAGGTACATATAAAGTATAATTTATTTATACTTTATACTGCTTATATTTATACTTTATATTGCTATAATATAAAGTATAATTTATTTATACTTTATATTGCTTCTCGTCATTTTGTGAAACAAAACTTGGTCACCTCCATTTACTTGTGAAACGTTGCTCACCTCCATTTGTTGATGCCAACGTTCGTACTTCCGGCGAACCACGGGTCCAAAACGAACACGCAACGAAAGGTGGAAGCTCCGACGAGGCCCTCCCTCAACGAGGGATTATCGTGCAGTCTGAGACCCTTGCGAAACCAATGAACCGTGTGCTTCCCGCCCTCGCCGTGCAGCGTCACTTCCGGGTTTATTTCACTACTGCGACTACCTGTCATCTTCATTTCCTCCTCGCGAGACTCGCCTTTTTTTCAAAGTCCCCTCCCCCCTTTTTCTCCTGATTCCTTCGTCTTTTCCCTCCCACTGTTGCACACTTCCCTCTCAATACAATATTGATGTTCGATCAGACGAGCAACACATTTTCGAATCACCAAATAGTTTCTCCTCTGATCTTCGTTTCTGCCCCCGTGCTTTCGTCACTGTTTCGTATACGCGCGCACGCACACACGCGCGCGCGCGCGCCTTCACACTTATACGCATACAAGCGCAAGAACGCACCTCCCTCGACGCTTCTTCTCTATTTTCTTAACCACTCTTTTTTTTCCTCGTCCCTAACCTCTCTTTCTCGACCACCTCCGTCTCACTCTCTCTTTTTCTCTCCCAGGAGGATGTTTTGTGAAGTTTGTTTGCGCGTGTTTTTTGCAGATTTTGTACAACGAGCTTGGCTAAATTAGTATCTTTAATCTTCCAGTGTCGTCATCCTGGCAAGTCGACTCTGTCTCTCTCCTCTCTTTCTCTCTAGATCAGCTGTTGCAATTTTTTCCCTAAAACAAAGTTTACAGGAAAAAATGATTCGTTTTTCTTAAATACAATCTTATCGGGATTAGCGCGTCATTACTCTCGCTATAATTCCAGATAGATTTTTGTTTTTACTGCATTCCTTCAGTGTCGTTTCGTTTTTAATGGGAGAAATATTTTCCGAAATTTAAAAAAAAAAGCAAAAGTCAACGAAGTTGTATGTTGTGTTTATGTTACACTATTGGGCTGACCAAAAAGTATTTGGTTACAACCAAATTTTTTTCTAACAGACGAGCATGTATCTTAAAATATAATTTTATAATTGTAATAACTTATACAATTCTCAATCGGTAACTTAATTTCAAACCGCAAATTCGTTCTGTGGTCGATTGTTTTAGAAAAAGAAAATGCACGATCTCATAGACGATTGTTTATTCGGCGCCAATTTTCAAAACGAAGGAATCTCAAAGAGCATTCTCGTCATATTTTACTGTACTACCTTTCGAAAAGGAATGAAACTGTGCAAGCTTATAAAAAATTATCTGACGTGCACGGCAAAGAAGCCTTCAAATCACGGCAGTGTCAGAAATTTGTTTACGCGAAATTTCACTGCTGACGAGGATATCAAATCATTAACAGTTCTCGGAATTGTTTCTTGCCGAAAAAGACAAGACCGCGGAATCACGAAGTTGCCTGAAAGATGGCAAAAGGCAATCAAACGAAATGGTCAACATATTAATAAAGTTTTTGTTTCTCGCGAAAAGTTCACCTTTTACTGAAAAAAAAACAACGCAGTTACTTTTTGGCCAACCCAATGTGTGATATAGACTATATAGAGTAGTGCCCGCTTAAACGTCCGTCGCTATCCCCACCAATCTTAGAATTGGATCTATCTTACTCTATATTACCTTACTGTGCGATGTGCCGAAGGCCGCATGAAGTTTGACACTTTGCACAATACAAAGCGAGCGATACCTGATACGAAATATTTTGGCATAATTCGCAGAATTACACCTTCCCCCACTTGAGCGTTTTCTCTCGGTCTCGATTGCTTAAGTGGGCACTACTGTACCAATCTTGACGTCTGACAGAGTTCCGATATTTCTACTGTGCATGTTACGCATTAGCTGACGCATCACGTTTAACTCCACTACTGTGCAGTAGAGGGGAATCGATGGTAACGGACGTTCTGTTTATCGTGACTATGTTACATACACATTATGTCACATGCGCATAACATTTGCGAAAGTTTGTGCGAACGTATGAAACTATGTTTCGTTTACACGCGTCAATCGTCTTGTTGAGCAACTCTGTGCAAACTCAGAAACAAATAATTCGACAAATTCTGTCGATTGCAGTTTGAACGAGCGATCAACAATCAAACTACATGTTTTTTTTTCTAAATTATACACAAGTTTAGATGTAGATACTATTTAGATATTTATTTAGACGTTAGAAATATTTATTAAAAGATATTTATTTAGATATTAGAAATATTTATTTAGATATAGGTACCATTTAGATATTAGAAACAAATGCGAATAAAGATCGGAAAAATGTCATCCGAAAAAAAAGAAAAATAATACAAAACGCTAAGTTTTTATTTTCGTCCAACTTCGTTAAATGTAAAATTAATTCCAGGTCGACTCACGTAACTATCCCCGTCATGCCCAAATATAGAAGTATTACATAAGTCTTGGCGGTTACCTGTGTTTGCCGGAGTAAGTGAAGCTTCACAAACGGACCCTTTGCTCCAATTTCCCTTTTTGAATTTGATCTCGCTGATTGATCGATTGATCACCGGCGCCGAAGCTCGTGCAACGCGTAAATCGTCGATCACGGCGCGCGTCTCGTCAACGACGCAGGTCTTCAACTCGATCTGCCACGATAAGGAACCAACAACATCAGCAGTATCTAATGACACGTCCACGAAGCGATCGAGCTTCCCCCGACTTCGAAATTACCAACTTAAGCATATAGAAGTTATCACTCTAACTTAGGCAACATTTTGCAATTTGCATTACCTGTGCTCGCATTCGCAACGGAAACAATAACAGGAACTGTATTTTGAGAGACAGAAGTAAACGTTGACCCACCGAAATAATCGACTTTTTCCTCGCTTTTTTTCTCTCAATGGATCGCCAGTCGCAATTGTTGCAAATCCCTGCACGAAGTTCGCGAAGTCGACGTTCCGTCGATAAAAAAGAACGCGGCGATCTGCGCGTACCCGATGACGCTTGTTTTCCAATGTTTTCTGATTTGACGTTAAGTGTTTCCAATCGAGGAAATTTTACATTCAGTAATGGCCGCGCGTTACATGTGCCCGCGAAGCAAAAATGAAACACGCGCGAATGTATAAATAGCCGCGTCGTGTGTGTGCATGTGCACGTACGTGCATACACGTGGACGTGTGTGCGCGAACGGCCTTTGATAAATCGATGCAACGAAGAATCCCGTCGGATAACGGAGAAGCTTCGTGTGCTTTGAAGTTGGAGTTTATCTAAATCTAATTACAAGATGTAATTACTACGTTCGTCGACGAAAAAAGAAAATAAAAAGAAGAAAAGTCGGATGATCGATAAAAATCAGAAATAATACGCGCTTTAAAGCAATGACGAATGTCGTTTGTCAGCAATAACAAGAGATTGGGTAGAAATCTCTTGTTAGAGTGAATCAAAATTAACAACAAGCAAAAAGAGAGTACGCTGCAAACCAAAACGATCTAATATGTATATTTACGTGTATGTACTTACAGTCGTGCGGAGGCACGAACATTTTAACGTATCCGAATGTGATGCATATATTGTTTCCATGCACTGAACGAACTTGTCAAACCTCGAAAGAAACGCAGCACGCACGTTCAAAAGTAATGGTAACGCGTTGTCAAAATCTTCGGCGGTCGTTGATCAAAATCAAATGTTTCTCACAGTTCACCTCCGAGATACAATAGACGGTAAGAGTCGCAACGAAGGAACGAACGAACGAACGAACCGCGCACGAGAAACAGTTGCTCGCATATGCGAAGAGATATGCCGTAAGAGCAAGGGGAACGCGCGGAGCCACGCCGAATGCAACGTGACAGCGTCTCCGCGTACCTTGCAATTGGCCAACCGGATCACGTGGTTTCTCGGTCACGTTGCACCCGTCGTGGTACTATACGCCTCTTCTATCTACGTACATTTATGTATATATACACTCGTCATTTCCCTCTTCTTTTCATCCTGCCGTTTTTTTTCTTCCTTTGCTTCGGCATTCGTGCATGTTACTCCCCTCTCTATAAACACTATGAACAGGTAGGATACGTACCGCTTAATCGATGTTACTACTTACCGCAGCGACTAAAGCTATTTGCGGAGAAGGCACATTGTCCTGTTATTATTTTGCCACTTCGCGCCACCGTGTTTCAACATGCAACGAAATAGAATGAGTACTCGAAACTCCACTGCCATCATTCTTGTTCACCGTTATACGATCTCAAATTCAAACATGATCGAATCATCTTACTCGTCTAACGCGGATTAACTGCAAAATACGAAAATCATTCCGATTGTAAGAGGAGCTATCGGTTTGCTAGCCATTGTAGAAATCTCGTGAAAATTCATTGTGGAGATCTCGCTACGCCAAGACGCTAGGATATTTACCTCCACGATACCCTTGACCGAATTGTCACGCGCATACGCGTGTATATTATCTTTTCAGTACGTATTACATTGTAGACCAATAATATAACGCAACTGACTCAGCAACTCGACATTGATACATCTGTAGATTTTACGCTGGGACAAACATTCTACAATTTGTTTTCAATTTGCGTTTAACGTAACTTGAAGAATTTTAAGATACCGACGGTTTTGTTAGTACTCGAGAGATCCAATCATTCGGACAAGTGCAAGCGTGCATGTAAATAGAAACGCTTTATAGAATAATTACATCTGTTTATTTGTATTGATACATAAAAGATATTCAGGAAGAATAATAGTACAACAAAGTACTTGTCGATTGCTTTCTTCCCGTTACTTTCGATACACTAGTCCTATCTGCAGTTCGTACAATATAAAAATGACTTTTTCAAAAATCCATATTATTTACCATGTTACGTATTATTTATTCTGTCTCTCTGTTCGTTTCTTTCTTTTCTTTTCTTTTCTCTTTCATTCTCAAGTCTGGATTATACATTGTACATCTCGCTATTTCCTATTTACCGATACATATTGTTCGACGTTATCCGTATAGTAATGTAGTTAATCTATATCTGTAAATATTTTCTTTATACATTCGTAAATCTTATAGTTTATCTTTACTCTGATTTTAGTTTTTTTTTCCTTCTTTCTTTAGTGCAATTACGCGATAAATTATGTTCAAAGCGATCTTGATTGGTTTACTTTTTTTCCCCCTTTGCAATCGTACACCGGTGGTATTACGGTAGTACATGTGATTAATCATACTTATGCGTATGATGCATTTATGTATATATGCCTGTATGTATATAAGTATGTAATTGAAAGACTATCACTATTGACGGAGTAAGAAATAAATTTAACGAGATGCCCGACGCATGTTACTCTACATTGTTGTATGACAACACGTTACTGGCGTTTGAAGCACCTCAATAATATAAGCGCCTGCCAAATTTTTTTTCAACTCTCCCTTTCTCATTTAATTCTTAACTTTTCTCGCTCTCCCTTTTCACATTCCCTCAAATTTCCATTTGTTCCTCGGAAATATATATATATATATATATATGTAACTTGTACTCTGTCAATACTATTAATTAATACACGACTGTAAACGAATAATCTAGATAACAATTAACAAATCATACTGGATTCGAAGTTTTTTGCATCGCATATGAAGTACTGGAAATATCTCGAACGAAGATTAAACGGAAATATATGTCGTCGAAAATTGCGTGTGCGATGAAGGTTAAAAAAAAGAAAAAAGGAACAAAGAGGAAAACAATAAACATGGAAAAAAAGAAAAACATTGGAAGAGGAAAAGAAAACTGCTGATACGCGTGAATAATTGCAAGAGGTAATGTAACAATATAATATTGACAATATAATTTCGGCGTATACAAGATCAAGTTCCTTTTGAACTGAAAAATTTCCGCCACGTGCTTTGAAAAGAAATTGAAATACATGCGTATATTTACGAAGTTCGATTAAGAATCGAAAAATACTACAAATCTCGTACAACAGTTTATTGTTGATCGTTGGATTAACGGACATAAATCAAAGTTGCTGTAAACGATATGACATAGAAAGAATGCTCTACAATACAAGAGAGAAAACAAGATCGTGTTCTTGCTTAACCTACAAATTACAATATTTAGCGAAAATTGATATTAGAGCTCTCTATTCTCTTGTATAAAAAGAAATAATAGTACTTCCAAATATAAATGTATGACATTAACTTGTGATTATTTTGATCATTTTTATAAAATGAATACTTAACCGTAATTCACGTATCTTACTAGAAAAAAAAAAAAGAAAAAAAAAAAAGAATGGTAATAGTACTACATCTACATATTTTGTGTGTATTGTTTTTAAATATATAATAAATCTTTTTAAAGCTATAATTTTAATCTCAAGAATCCCATCTTTTATGCATCAGTCGAATTGTGTCTCCTATCAACTATTATACAAGTCAATGACAACAAAGAATAAAAATGCTTGAGAGAAGTTTCACTTCCATTTCTTTTCTCTAGAATAATATTGTTGTTCTTCAAAATAGCTTACCGACTCGTGATCATTATTCAATATAATATTTTTTTCGATCTTTCAACATCAAATGTAAATAAAATATATTACAAAACACGATTATACACGTTCATAAAACATTCTCTTGAACGCATTGACATCTCTTCCAGGTACGCATATCAAGCCACGCAAATAATTCGATTAAGATAGATAAAATATTGTACAATATGAAATTCAAACCTTTCTTTTACAGTTTATAGGAACATCCATTTGGAAAGTTCGCGATTTGCCGACGTAATGATCAATGCTGATAGATTATTTTACACGCTTTGGAGGTCTACCACGTTTTTTCACCTCGGTGTTTACAGCGTGATTGATAATTGATGATTTGGCAGTATGCGAATTCATTGCTTTTTGTAGATTTCTCCCGGCAATTTTATACAAGTCTAGTTCGATTGTTTCACTCTCGATCGCCCTCCTAGATCTTCTGGTTCGACCAGCGATTCCCTCCATCTCATCAAACTTTGCCTGCAATCTTTGGGCCAACTCGAAGTCTTCTTTCTCCTGTATAACTAGTCTTTCCATTCGTTCTTGCTCTTTGATAATTTCTTCGTCCGAGAGAATATTTTTCTCCACAATCGTACTCGTTTCGGTAGTATTGTTATTCTCTGATATACGTTCTTGCATCTCAACGCAAGATTTAGACGAATTGCAATTGTCCACATTATTCACGCTATCGTATGTTGTATTTATGGAACTGTTGGCCTGTTTTATCTTTCGTGTTGTTCTTTTTAAGCCAGAATTGTTAATCTGGCAATTTAACTTTATGGAAGCGTCACCTTTCTCGGAACTTTCTATACTAGATTGTTTCGTTGAGCACACCCTTCGCTGTTTCGACTTCGATAAAGCAGATCTAGTGAACTTAGTTCTACTTCTATTTTGCACTGAAACAGGAACATCGTCTGTCATTTCATATTCAATCTCCTCTTTTCTACACGGTCTCTTTCTTGTGTCTCTTTTTATAATTGTTTCTAAATCCGAAGAGGACAGTCTGGTGGAATTCTTTTTATCTGTGTTTATTTTCCTTTTCTTTATTCTCTCCGCAATATTTTCGATCGTTATATCGTCCGCTTCCCGTATTTCAGATTTTTTATCATAGAAAGAATTTAGCTTCATAGATTCAGACGAGGAATTTAAATTTCTCACTTCGATATCATTCGTATACTTTGTATTTGCTGCAACCTTAATATCTTTCTTAGCCCACAAAGATTTTTGTCGTTTGGATTTACACACCATACCGTTTCTAACATGAGATTTCCAAGACTTTTGTACTTTTCTAATATCTCTATGCTCTTCTAATATTAAATTTTTACTAACTTTAGTACCATTAATTATGTTATTCACATTTTTAGCATAATTTTTATTAGAATCGAACGATATCTCTGAAATATATTCAAGTTTGCGAATATTATCATGCGTCTGAAATTTTGTCTGTGACTGATTACAAGATGTTGATGGTTTCTGTTCAATCTCTTGCTTAGATGAATCTTTTTCTTTAGAGCTCTGTTTAGTTCTTCCTATGAGATTTGAAAATATTGTATTTCTGCTCATGTGACTTTATATCCTATTGTATATATTCTACTGCATTATAAAATCAACTTACCTCGAAACGCACTCCAGGAACATCCAATGATTCGTTTTAAATGTACTTGAGACGGAGGTTTAGGTACAACGTTCGATATCCTTTTTAGTATTGGAACAACTCTAATTAGTTTCGGATCTATTTGTCTTCCATCTGTAACACAATATTATAAATATACATAAATTACTACGTAAATTATTTTGAAGAATGTTGGAATTTGAACCCAAGTATATGATGTGTCCGGAAAATAATGAGAATGAAATAATTACTTTAATAAGGGAAATGATATTTCCTTGTAGATTTTTTCAATAAAAATTTTTTTATAAAACAAAATTCTCATTACTCTCCGGACAGATCACGTGTAAACATTAACATTCAAACAGTAAAGTTCAACCTGTAGACATTTTTAATGGTGTTCTGGGCATAGCCTTGATAGGTTTAAAATGATGAATTTCTTGATTAATGCTATCATGACTACCAGTACTTTCTGCACTTCCCATTCTTTCGTCATCGTCCCCTGACGACACACACACTTCCACACTTAAGCTCTTTTTTTTACTGTTCACGATATCATTTGGTACATGCAACTCTTCCTTGCTCTGGGTACCATATATTTTTGAAGTAGACGTTCTAGGTTCCAAAGAGCATTTTGATATACAAGGCTCAATTACTTTAGATACCGTTTGATGCTTTAAAGTTCTTGAAACAGCATTATGTACAGGTTTCTGACAACAGAATTTACTCGTAGAATCGTTACATGCACCAGACAGGTCTACATTGTTTTTTATACTAGACGCATATCTTTCTGTATGGATCTTAGATATTAACGCAATATTTGATCTTCTTAATCCAGAATTATCTTGAGACTCTTTCTCATACTTCGAACTTTGCGATTCCCCTTTGTATGAATTCACTTCAGTCATAGTAGCGACATTCAATTTTGAAGTGTGAAAAGAACTATTAGATACATTGAGAGAGTTCTTATATTTAGACACTTCTTTGTGTTTGTCGACAAGCTGTTTCTTTACCAAAGATTTAGCAAGTAATTGATCTTGAGTTAATTGAACCAGCTGTTGTTGTTGCTCTTCTTCTTGAATTTTGCGAATCAAAGCCTCGCTGGCTATCTCTTCAGCTTTTCTTTGACATCGCATTTCTTCCTCTGCCATTTGAAGTTGCACCTCATATTCGTGTCGAATTTCTCCAGCTGCACTAAGTATCTTATCAGCACCAATGTAGCCTGCAAGAAAAAGAAAGAATACCTCAGACATATTTAATGCGCAAATATACAGTTCAGTTTTAAATGGCACTTAAATTATACTTTTTCTTCGACGATAGAAATGATAAACATCATAGAATTCTGTGCCTAATTTAGCATTGATGACATTGCTATCATTACGTTGTTATGTTATAATAAAATTGAATTTCCTTATTAGAAAAACACGTTTTATTATTTTCAATCACGTACACGTGCATATATATCAATGTTGTGATTATATAGCTACAGAGGTTATGTTACATTTGTTTATCTAGTGTTGTTGAAAACTTACCAGCATCCAAATCGATACTTCTGTCGTTACCGCTGTATTTACTTTCAACCTCTTTGGAAAATTTCGTCTGAATTAACTCCCAAAGGCCGTTATTAACTAATGTTTCGGTCTTCGTCGCTGTACGTAGCCAAGAACCGACTCGTATTCGACAAAGAGGACAACTCAAACTATTGTATTCGAAAGTACCTTTCAAACATTTTAAGCAAAGGTTATGTGTACACGGCAATGTTACTGGTTCAATAAGAATGCTGCGGCATACTGGGCATATTAAATCTCGTAGATTAATATCCAGCGATGATTGTGTCAAAGAAATATCAAACAATTTTGACGTTCGCTTCAAATATGTCGCCATCTTGCCATATTCTTTAAAGAAACATAACAACCACTATGATCATTTTGAGAACCGTGATTCTCTCATTGAACGAAAATAGCTCGATTTGAATTCAGTCTATTATGAAACACGCATTTAAATTAATCGAGCGCCGATCCAGCATTTAATATGTCGAATGTTTCTAATTAAAACCTATTTTGATTTCTGTGAAAAATTGTCTATCTCTCATATGCTCTTTTAGTGAGTTTTTGCTGCACAGTTTAAATTACTTCTGTAATATATAGTCCGAAATGTGTATACTTTCTAAAAAAAAATACCTAGACAACAGTAAGATTAAAATCCAACGATTATTAACATGGTATAACATTTCAATAATAAAAAAATGAAACACTAGGGAAATAAAAAAGAGAAGACGTTGTGTTTTAATTTTTTATGTAATGAGTAAGAAAAGACTTTATTCTATAAATTTTGAGGAATATTTGTAAAATATATTGTTTCGCAATTTATAAATCTCGTTTGATACTAGTAGATGTGTATAAAAATTTAAAAAATTACTAACTGTATATTCCCAACTGAAACGTTACATATAGCACAAAGAATATTAAACAATATTCAATATAAAATATAAAATTTGTTTTAAGAACTTTACTCAAAAATAAATTATATACAATTGAAAAGATTGTATACTGTATTTTATTTCCTTTTATCTATGACTTTGCATTCAAATACAGTATTTATAAGTAGTAAGTTGGTAATCTTTACGATCAATAAAAAAAAGAACTATGTGGTAGAATTCCCCCAATTTTGTATAGAAAATTATTAACTGCCGATAAGCTGACGCAATCGGAGTAAGTTCTTCCTGCGAACGAGATAATTGTGAATTTTCGAAAAAAAAATTAATCAAATAATTATTCAAGATAATTACTGAAGCACGCACAGGAGATATTGATATAAATAATTTGTTTCCTAGAATCAACATAAAATATGGGTAAAGGTATTTTACAATATCGTAATATTACGTTAGTAATAGTATTATAGTAAGAATAATAAATGTAGTAATTTTCTGAAAACAAACGGTAAATAGCATACATATATTTATATTACATAGGAGGATCAAAAAAGAAGTCTCAGAAATCAAAAGAGGCTTCTAAACAAAAAAGTTCTAAACAAAAACAAAAGGATAGATCCCAAGAGCCAAGTACCTCTCGGCAACATCAACCATGTAGTTCTAAACAACAACAGCAGGCATTACAAGATACCCCACAAGAACAGTCATCAAGTGGTACCCAACAACAGAAAACAACACATGATACCCAACAACAGCAGTCAACACGTAGTACGCAACAACAGCAAGTATTACAAGGTTCTGAACAAACACGGCCATCACGTGGTACCCAACAACAACGGTCACCACATGATACACAACAACAGCAGATATTGCAAGGTACTCCACAAGCGGAGTTATCACGTGGTACCCAACAACCACAGTCAAAAACATCAGTCATCACCTTAGTGTACTCACCAATATATACTCCTAAAGTTCAGTCACAACATGATACCCAAGAACAGCAGTCACCACATGGTGGGCAACAACAGCAAGTATCACAAGTTACTCCACAAGAACGGTCATCAAGTGGTACCCAACAACAGCAAACAGCACATGGTACACAACAACAGCAGGTATCACAACCTACTCAACAAGCATGGCCATCACGTGGTACCCAACAACAGCAGCCACCACATGGTATACAACAACAGCAGTCACCACATGGTAGCCAACAACAACAGATAACACATGGTATGCAACAACTGCAAGTATCACAAGGTCTTCCACAAGCATGGCCATCACATGGTGCCCAACAACAGCAGTCACCACATGGTATCCAACAACAGCAGCCACCACAAGGTACTCAACAAGCATGGCCGTCACGTGGTACCCAACAACAGCAGACAACATATGTTATACAACAACAGGAAGTATCACAAGGTCTTCCACAAGCATGGCCATCACGTGGTGCCCAACAACAGCAGTCACCACATGGTACCCAACAACAGCAGCCACCACATGGTATACAACAACAGCAGTCACCACATGGTATCCAACAACAGCAGTCACCACATGGTACCCAACAACAACAGATAACACATGGTACGCAACAACAGCAAGTATTACAAGGTACTCCACAAGCATGGCCATCACGTGGTGCCCAACAACAACAGTCACCACATGGTACCCAACAACAGCAGCCACCACATGGTATACAACAACAGCAGTCACCACATGGTATCCAACAACAGCAGCCACCACATGGTACCCAACAACAACAGATAACACATGGTACGCAACAACAGCAAGTATCACAAGGTACTCCACAAGCATGGCCATCACGTGGTGCCCAACAACAGCAGTCACCACATGGTACCCAACAACAGCAGCCACCACATGGTACCCAACAACAGCAGCCACCACATGGTATCCAACAACAGCAGCCACCACATGGTACCCAACAACAACAGATAACACATGGTACGCAACAACAGCAAGTATCACAAGGTACTCAACAAGCATGGCCATCACGTGGTGCCCAACAACAGCAGTCACCACATGGTACCCAACAACAGCAGCCACCACATGGTACCCAACAACAGCAGCCACCACATGGTATCCAACAACAGCAGCCACCACATGGTACCCAACAACAACAGATAACACATGGTACGCAACAACAGCAAGTATCACAAGGTACTCAACAAGCATGGTCATTTGGTGGTGCCCAACAACAGCAGTTACCATCTGGTAGCCAACAACAGCAGTTACCATGTGGTAGCCAACAACAGCAGTTACCATGTGGTACCCAACAACAGCAGCCACCACGTGGTACTCAACAAGCATTGTCATTAATTCGCACCAAAAAAAAGTCGACACATGATACTAAAAAACAGTGTCTACTAAGTTATGAAAATACAAAGGTACTTGTTCCTATAAGACCATGGCCACGTGGTACTCATCAAGCATGGCCAACTACTCCTGTACCATCAGACGCATTTAAAACTAAGGTATCAGAAAACATATTATGTTCTCAGCTAGAACAAATATAAATTTTTGTCAAACTCAGAAGAGTTCTGTTTATTAAATGTAATTTAATGGTAATTATATGTCTTTTGTGTGTATTTTCTATTTAGGAGTCTGTAGAAATAAAAACTGTACAAGACTACTCTAAATTGATACCATTGAAAACCAGCCGTAGTGGAGGGCAGGTTGGTAGAAAAATTATTGTAGAAACGAACATGCTTAAACTCAATTTTCCTAAGAATTTTCAAGCAAGGATTATACATTATGATGTCGATATTGTACCAGATAAACCGAAATGTTTTTTAAGATTTGTTTTTGAGGAATTCAGGAAAATACATTGTCCGAATAGATATCCTGCATTTGATGGCAGGAAGAATGCATATAGTGCAAACGATCTTCCTTTTGGTAATGAAAGTGTAAGTAGTAGATTGATAATGTGCTTTTATTATTATGTGCATAATTTTTTTATTTTTGTATCCTATATTTTTAATATTTATTTATTGTAAAATTAAATATTTTTGTAGATATTTATATATGTTTATACTTCTCCTTTATTATAGAAAGTAGAAGAAATAGATGTTTTTGATAAAGAACACAGAAAAAATAGAACATTCAAAATATGTTTGAAAAAAGTTTCAGTTCTTGATTTATCATGGTTAAAAAGTCAATTGACCATTGAAAATTTTGATAATGAAACAAAACAAAAGTGTATTCAGGCATTGGATGTTATTTTACGACATGGTCCTGCATACAAATATACAACGGTAAGTTACTGAATATTATTTATTCTTCAAATTTAAGTAAAATTTATTTAATACTTTAATCTGTTTATGTTTTATTATAATTTATTAATGCAACATATGCTAATGATACATGGTATTATAAGAAGTTTATTGTCAGTTCTTTCCTCTCCTCGCATACTTGAATATTTTGTCTTCGATTCTTTCTTGTTTTAACTAAGCTCCTCCTTCAAATCATCGATCTTTGCAAAACCTTTTAATACATTATAATGAATTTAATGCACTCGAATCATTATTTAATATAATAATACTTCAATAGGTTGGCAGATCACTCTTTCAACCACCAGAAGGTAGAGTTGTATCATTGTCAAATGGTTTAGATTTATGGATTGGTATATTTCAATCTGTTATAATTGGATCCAAGCCATATTTGAATGTAGATGGTAATATATTAATATAATCATATGTTTATCTATTAAATTTGAATTTTAATATATAATTTTTATGTGTAAAAATAGTTGCACATAAAGGATTTCCAACAGAACAACCAGTTATTAATTTAATGAAAGAATTCTGCAAGAATCCAAGATCTGATGTATTACCAGCAGACATAACTGCAGCAGACATAAAACGAAATGGAGATAAAATAACGAAATTCTTAAAGGGATTAAAAGTTCAATATGAATTGCCTGGTCAACCTACCACTAAAAGAACTTATAATGTAAATGGATTAGTTCCTTCTCCAAGAGAGAATAAATTTTATTTGTCAGATGGAACTAGCTGCACAGTTGAACAATATTTTTTAAAAGCTAAAAAGTATAAAATAAAACATAACGATCTACCTTGCCTTTGGGTGGGATCTAGATCTACCAATATCCATGTGCCCCCGGAGGTAAACACAAAAAGATATATATTGTTGACTGATAATTTTTGTTTACATAGAAAAAAAAAACCGAGTTCACTTGTGACCGTTTAACGATGTATTAATATAAATATAATAATATAGATTAAGTATGTACATAATATATACTTAAAGTTATTACACTTAATAATAATTTTATTTATATTTTGCAGTTATGTACAGTCGTAGCTGGGCAAGTCCAACGGAAAAAAATGAATGATATTCAAACTTCCAAAATGATTCGCGAAGCAGCAACTGATACGAAGAAACGTAAACAGAAAATCTTGGAGGGTGTAAGAGATTTTTTAATTATTTTTATATGTAATTAAAAACCATCATCAGAATAAATTAAAATATTGATATGTTTACAGTTTGCTAAAATGGATGTAAATCATCAACCAACTTTAGTGAACGAATTCCATTTTTCTGTACAAGGAGAATTTGAGAAAGTGCCAGCAAGAGTTCTTCAAGCTCCCATGTTGGAATATCATGAGAAGAACATTAATGTACAAAAAGGAACATGGAGAGCAGACAAATTTTTAAATCCATGTACTTTACCAGATAATTCTTGGACTATATTAAATTTAGACGGATATGTGCGTGATCCTGATTTATATAATTTACAGTCTAAATTGCAACAGTGTGGTTAGTAACTAGAATTAAAATACTAAATTTTCTATCATGGTATTTAAAGTATTCTTTTAGTAATATGTAACTTTAATACTGTGTATTTTATAGGTAAATCTCTGAACATGAATATTAATAAACCTCAAACTCCATTTAGAACTCTAAGATTACAAAGAGATAGTAGAAACATTCAAGAATATTTTATGGAGAAAAAGCAACAAAGCATAAAACTTGTAATAGTAATACTTCCGTATGTGGAATACGCATACAGTAAGTAACATATTATTATATTATTTTATGTACGAAACATAACATATTTTATTATAACATATTTCATTATTCGCAGGTGTGGTAAAACAAATTTCCGAAATTCATATAATTGGCGGTATTGTAACTCAATGCATAAGACAACAAACCTTAAAAAGATTAAGCGATTCAACGATTGGAAATATTTTGTTAAAAATTAATTCAAAGCTTAATGGTATTAATCACAAATTGGCTCTGTCTCATCGGTAATATTATTTATGTTTTTTACAGTTATATGCAAGTATATATGTGAATTTTATGTACATAAAGTATGGATTTTTTTCAGTCCTCCTTGTTTAGATATACCATGTATGATTGTTGGTGCAGATGTGACTCATCCATCACCTGATGCCGTAAATATACCTTCCATTGCTGCTGTAAGAATCTTTACTTCACCATTTGAATCATGCAAATGTCTGTTTATATAAATACAAATGTTCAATAATATGTTAATGTAGGTTGCAGCAAGTCATGATCCCAATGCTTTCCAATATAATGTTGAAATAAGACTTCAATCACCGAGAGAAGAAATAATCGCCGATTTGAAACAAATTATGATAAAACAATTAGTTTATTTTTACCAGAGAACAGGACATAAACCTCGAAGATTAATTTTTTATCGGTTTGTAGATGAAGATATTAAATGTACAAGCTTAAATACTAATGCAATATATTTTTAATAAATGCTTATTTACACGTAAATAGAGACGGTGTAAGTGAAGGCCAACTTGCGCAAGTGATAAATTATGAACTGTTTGCAATAAAAGAAGCTATCGCGCAATTAGAGAACACTAAAACATGTATGGTGCCAATTACGTTCCTCGTAGTTCAGAAACGACATCATATACGTCTTTTCCCAACTGATATGAGAAATTCCGATGATAGAAACTTTAACGTTCAAGCAGGTACCATCGTTGATTCAGAAATTACGCATCCAACTCAAATTGATTTTTATCTCGTATCTCATGCTAGTATACAAGTAAGTCGTATTCATTGTAATATATGCATAGTATACAACATATTTATCACATAATACGATACAGAGTTTAAAATATTTACATTAATAAAAATATAGGGTACCGCGAGACCTACAAAATATAGATGTATATGGAATGAAAATGGAATGCACGAAGATGAAATTGAGGAGCTTACATATTATCTTTGTCACTTGTTTGCACGTTGCACGAGATCTGTTAGTTATCCTGCACCCACATATTATGCTCATTTGGCTGCTTTTAGAGCAAGAGCATTAATACACAAGTAAGTTGTTATTAAATCATCGTTATGTTATTAAATCATATGTATATATATATATATATCACGGTGTTTATGATTTATATTTCTGTGTAGCGTTGATTTGGATTTAACTAATCTGCAGAAAGAACAGGACAAAAAATTGAATTTACAATTAAATGAAAATTCACCTATGTTTTTTGTGTAAAACACATATACATGTATGTATCTTTTTAGTCTTTATATTTGATGTTGATCATATAAATTCTAAAATAATATTAGTGTTTAAAATATCTTATACATGGTAAATGAAAATAACTTTTTTGTATGTTACTCTAATAAATATATTTTCCATAATTTTTTAATATATGTAAAATATATTTTATATGTCTGTTTACATATATTATTATATTATAGTATATATAATTGTTATTTTGTATCTTAGTTGATTTTACGTACAATTCGTAATACTGTGTAATATTACGTATAAATTTCGATCGACATCGAACGTGGAAATGGTTTAGAATATCAGCTTTGAAATAATTTACACGGAATGTAAATTATTTATGTAAAAGCGTAGAGTCTACTATACTTATAAATACATAAACTTATAAAAGAATTTATAAAAAAATCTTTACATGTATACGTAATGTTATAGATCAAGTCGTACAAAGACATCTGGAAGTCCAATTAAGGCGCAATTACAAAAGTTCCCAAATTAATCCTTTTAACTGGTTCTTTTTGCAAATGAAAATGTGATGCATTCATGAACATTGAAACATTAGTACTGCATATTGGTAGTGATGCAGTAATGAATTAATCTTTATCTCTCTTTTCGCGAAGAGTTGCTATCCTATATATTTCCCATATACACACGAACGACCAAAGTATCATTTGTCGAGTCCATTTAGAATTATTTAGCGTGTATCTTTTAATCGAAGTCTGTCCAACTAGCGACTCGTGTCCCTCTTCAAGAGAATAGCCCCCTCCATACTTACTTTAATCGAGTCACGGACGAGGTACATAAGCCACATTTCAATATTAGCATTTCGATATCCACGAGTCGAACAAATTTTGATTTGAAAAAAAGAAAGCTAAGAGGAGATTAATTTCTATACTTCTGTAGTTGCAGCCTTCTTTTAATTTCATTTAACTTCAAAATGCATTTTATAGGGTTGTACGAATTGAATCTCGTGAATCTATATAATTAATTAAGCAAAGTTGTATAAATCTGCAAATTATACAGATCTTATGCGTAAGGTGTATTATAATGTATTGTAAAAATAATAAAAATAATCAATCCAAATCTCCTTACGAAAGATACGAAAATATCGCCCATAAGTAATTTTGAATACAAAGCGAAAATCCCGTTTTACTTTTAAATTTATTTTTTCAAACGATTTGCTTTCAAATTCGAACGAGATAAACTCGATCTTCAGAACTATTATAGACCAGGCATGTGTTTGAGTTGGTCGTATGCCTCGTCTGTGCTCGAAGTTAATGACACGTTTTCAGAAATGGCGCTTTGTTTCCAAAAATGAAAGTAATTCGTGTTCAAAAATTTTTCGAAAATTTGTCATAGTTAGAAAACGGCTGGATCGTATAGATTTCGTATGATATTTTTCTGATACTAAATCCCAAATTTCAGGTTAAATACTCCTGTCAATTTTCGAGAAAATCACTTCAATGGATCTGTTGGTATTCAAACTTAAAACTAGTTTAAACAAAATTATTTTTCAAATTTCACGCTTCATAACTTTGTACCGTACTACAAAGTTCTTTGGCGTTCAAAGATCTTATCAAATCTGAATTTGAAAACTTCAGATACAAAATAATGTAGCATTTTATAATTAATATCGTGCAACTAACATCTCCCCAGTTTTGAAATAACCTGCTAAGTTCATAAAAATTATGAACTGTTAAGTTTATAAAAGTTTATATTCATTATACTATGTATAAATGTATTCACATTTATTTCTCCTTCAATTCAGTTTCCTAAAGCCAGCATTCTTAATTAACGTTTCAATAAATGAAATCTTTCAGCTGTAGCTACTGATTTGATCGCTTTTGACGATCGTGATGGCGATCACAGATGGCGTAAGGAGCATTCTAACTTTTCTCGGTATTTCAGAATGTGAGGCACGAAAAGCGAGTGACACGACGACCCACATGATGTCACGTCTATCCTGTGTTTAGTTAATGTTCTTGGTAATGGAGTTTGGATACACACAGCAAATGTCCGTGTAGCATTGCAAATTTCGAAGATAACAGAAATTATTCTCCGCGTAGGACATAGAGTGCGTAGTTTTTAGAAAGGTATGTTAATTTCAATTTATTTTCAATATTTGACTTCGATTACTATTGGTATGTATATATATGTATATGTATGCATGTACATACGCGCGTTGCGTTTTATATATGTATGCATTCTTTTTTTTTTTTTTTTTGCTTTTATATCCGTTTTCTATCTCTGATTAAATATTTTTATATTTAGTAAAATTGAAATGCACGTTAAAGATAGTACATGCGTAGGTAATGTTATTGTCATACATTTGCCAGTAATTATAAAGTGGAAACAAATAGACGATTATTGAGCGTTAAATGAAGTATGTTATAAAAAGGGATGCAAACTGCTTTTCCTATTATATTAATAACTATTCGAAATGGGAGAAGGATCAATGATGAATCGCGAACGTGTAATAGTAGATGAATGCATTTACTTGCATAGCTACGAAAGGTCATTGCACGTGTTTCTATTCCTGTTGATATAGTAGAAATCGACTGAAATGTATCATTTTCGTACTATTTTAATTAGTTATTTATAATCAGAACAAAATTAAATTTCTTAAATTTGTGATTATGTAGATATTACATCGTTTAGAAATATAAGATAAAATATTTCGGATAAAGTTTAGAATTAGCTTTCTCAAAGTGTACAAATTTTGCGAAAAATATGAAGTGAATTTCAAGATGTTGAACAACAATATATGTACAATAATATGTAATTTTTGTAGAGAAGTAATTTATAATAAATTATAATAACTATTTAATGCAAAAAAAAAAACAGACAGAGATTACAATTTTATTTTATTTTTTTTTTCGTTGACTGAATGGAATCCTGATAGAGTACAGTATTTTGTTGCAGGAAGGAATCTGAAATGAAGAGGTCAGCTATTATGTTACGCAGTTATCACGCGCGAGATAAAGAGTTTTTATTGACGTATCAGAGATAATAAAAAAAAAAAAAAACTGAAGAGACTCTAGTTTTATTTTACAAACTGAATATTTCATTGGAACGAGAATTTATTAATTGATGCGTTCGATTAATTGTTAATTGTTTGCGAGTCTCTCCGCTCTCGTTTCACCGCAGTCAATCTTAGGTCTTGTTCTTCCATAATGCCTCACCTTCATTCCTTCTTCACTTTGTCTTACTTTGGTTTCCTTGTTACTTTTTCTTTCGTTCACTCTTTCGTTCTTCGTTCTTTCTTCTTCTTTCTCTTTCCCTTTCCCTCTCTCTCTTTCTCTCTGTCTCTCATACACGCTACTCTCTCGCTCTCTCTTTCTCTCTCATGCTTCTGCAATTCTCTTTCCTTTTCTATATATAATTTTACCTTCGTCTGAGGTAGGTCTCTGTTCTCGCGGATACTTCACGTGACCAGAAGCGTCTATTGATTCTTGGAGGCAGTGCATGCGCCCTCGTCCTCGCAATATCTGCTGCCAAGGGGGTATGTAATACGCTGGAAACGCTGCTCGAGTTCCGTTCGCCTACAGGAGACGTGAAGGGGCCGTCGTTGAATATAGAAAACGAAGGGGTGAAAACGAGGAAAAAGCACGGGAAAGGAGAGCCAACGCAATTCGCGAAAACCTCAGTATCGCTTCGCGGAGCGCTAGTGCACATTCCCGCTTCGGTCGCTATGATCATTGTAGTTCTCACGAGGTATATTTACTTCCATTTCCTTTCGTCCGGGAACCATTGGTTAGTAAACATCTTTTTCATCGGTTCATACTTTCGTGGTCGTGCATAAAAATTCGAAAGGCACGGTAGGATATATTGTTTACGTACTCTCATTTCGTTCAGTTGTTTCCCCAGTTTGGAGGATGCAGACGTTCGTTCTTCGTTGCTACACGATCGTCGACATATTGATGCTGCTTTACGTGTGTTGCTTAAGTGTGAAAAGGCCATTAACAAACGGTGCAAAAAGTCAGATAGATCTCGTGTGCGTGATTGTTAGTTGAACCTGACTAAGATATATCAGTAAATTGCTATCGTTCGAAAGTAAACAGTGTCTCGATGACATGTTACAACTGCATGTTCGCCTTTCGTGATATTTTAGGTCGCAGTATTTTACAGTGAATCGTTCGAACATCAGAGACACGTACATATATACGTGTATGTACGTCTGTTAACTGAAATTTGTCCTCTTCTCCCTCTATCATCCCCATACGAAGTTCCGTCGCATCTGTGTGAAATATCGATCGTTTATACGATTAATGTTTTATTAGGCAGTTTGGTTCGTGATGTCGAGCTGACTGGCAGATTTTTACCTCGCCAACCCACGTTTCGTTCATCACTTTATGCTTTAGCAGGCATTAGGTTGCTCGTGTCCAGAATGAATCGGTGATTTTTCTTTTTTTTTTTTTTTTTTTTTAATGAAGATTGTCTTTTTGATCGGGGACAGATTTTCATGCGTATGTATTGCGAGTAGAAATTTATTTACGTAACATATCTTGGTTGCTTTTTCTGGCAATTACACGCGTTTTAAATGAATCTGGAGCCGAGCTCGAAGAAACTTTCTGGAAATTTGAAAGTACTTTCGAAGAATTTCAAAAGATCGCGTATCCACATACGCATCGAGTTGGAATAGAGGAAACTGGCGATCTAGCAATGAGAATGGAAACGCAAGGAGAGACGATACGACACGATTGAAAGATGTATTTTATTTTGTTTATTTCAGAAGGCAGCTGCAATAATAGTTTAAGGAGACACGTGGATCATGCGAGGCCAAGGAGCGAAGTGGTGACCTAAAACTCATCCTTGTTCTGACCCTCGATGCTTACGCTACGGCTGGTGTCGACTCACTTCCTGAAGCAGCCATAGGCAGTGCCCTTCGCCTTAGAGAAAGGGCTCGATGCGATGTGCCGTGATAGGGACATGAACCCAAAACTAGTCAAATTAAACGATCTCTTTTTAACGTCGTATTGGTTGCCAACATCGATTTAAAAGTTGCTCGAAAGTTTTTCGTGCGCGTATCGACGGAGGACTCTTCTTCGCCGGTCCCTTCGAGAGTTTTCGTAGTCGCTCGTCCTTCTAATTTTGCGCAATCCGTTTACCCCACACATCGTTCCTTGCCCTCTGTTAAAAANAAAAAAAAAAAAAAAAAAAAAAAAAAAAGAAAAAAGGAAACCTTCTCTACGAGACTGAATATCCGAGACTTGTCAACGTCAAGTGAACGTGAACGTGAAACGTGAACGTAAACATCAACGTCAACACATCCAGCGTTAACCTCAAGTTCGACCTCACCATCGACACTCTCACGGAAGATAAATATAAAATAAATCCGAGGAAAGAATTTCACGTCAAAGCGAACGACAAGGTGATTAACGAAAGTGTCATTTCGATCATCCTTTTACTTTTCTGTTCAAGAAAGTTGTGCACGATCGTTTTAATTTCTCGGTATCATCTAGGTATCATAACTACGTGTCTATTGGGAAAGAAGTACGAAGAAAAGAGCTAAACGAACAGCTGAAAATAGCGTAACTCGAAGTAGCGTCCAGGCTGAACTCTATTTACTTCAACCTGTGGAGGGTCGCGAGGGAGTGTATTGTGAGTGTCTCCTTTCCATTCCAGCAATTTTTTCGGTAACTATTTTATATTGAATTTCGACAAATATATTTGACGACGGATAGTTACTGCGTTATTGATATCAGCTGATATATGATCTCGGATAGAGCAGCTCGTCGTCATCCTGCACGTACGTTAAAGAAGTGCATAGCACAAAAGGCTTATCGATCAAGCTACTCTTACTCGAGATTAAATATCACGACGCCCATTGTTCGGTTCGTATCGGATTCACATCGGGCAGAGACACACTTGGTCTTTTCTTGGATTTATTTTGAAACGTAATTTAAACGGCAGATAATCAAGGAATTAGGATTATTATTATTATTATTATTATAATTAAAGATTATTATTATTATTGAAATTGTTAATTCAACGAATCGTACGGCACGGCAATTGACAAGTTAATTTTAAGTAGAAATAAACTGAATTGAATCAGTGTGGCGGCGGTGGCGGCGGCGGTGGCGGCTCGCGTTGTAGACAAAGTGGGATGAGACGTCCTCAGCAAGATCATCACCATCTTCACAACAATCACCATCATCACCATCATCATTACCACCATCAGCATCACCATTATCATCACCATGGGCCATCAACGAGTCCTACACGATCTCGACAGATCCACGAAAAGGTAAATTTCCCCATAGACGCGGTTTCACGCATCATCGACAGTTAATAATCCACGATAATGAAATTCGATCATTTCCAAGGACGAATCCCGTTTAGCGAAAGTGAAGCGGGTTCTGGCAGTGTCGTTGTTAGGACGTAATGGAGGATCTACGAGGATCTTCGGTACCCGGTTAGATTCGATCGAGCCGTACCTCGACACCGGTGTCCCATTCGTGGTGCACCGACTGTGCAATTACATCGAGGTTCACGGATTCCAAAGCGCGGCGGTGTTCCGCCTTTCTGGTGGTAGTCCAAGACTGGCGGAAAGACTGAGGGCCGCCTTCGAGAGAAGAGGTGACGCTGATTTGGAAACGGCGGCCTGCCCTCCGACCGCGGCAACGCTTCTTCGCCAGTATCTGAAAGAATTGCCGCAACCAGTTGTTCCGTCGACTCTCGTTGCCAGACTGTTGTCCATTCATGCCCGTAAGCGTCTAGAAACGTCCTTTTGTCTTCTGTTTTTTTTTTCCTCACGTAAAAAGAAAAAAATCTTGTTTACTTCTGCCAGAGAACTACGCCAACGATCGCGACTGTTGGATTAATTCAACGAAAGAGCTACTGTCCACTCTGCCGAGCTCCCACTATCGTCTGCTCGGCTACCTGGCTCTCTATCTAAGCAGGTATGAAGCCAAACACGGGCGTAGCGCCGGTGTTTGCGGAGTTTTCGCCCCCGTGATTCTACCTCATGTCCCACCTGCCACCACACTTCTTCGTGATATCCTAGCCGAGGCATCTACGCTTTTCCCGGATTGGTAAGTCGCACACACGTGATGTAACTTGTATATTTGTTTCCCTTTTTTAAGTGTGTGCACGCACTGCGAGATACAGAAACACGCGAAATTGATAAAATAACCAGTATTTAGATTCGATTATTGGCCATAAACCGCGTTATTATTAGCGGTTTTATGTAATTCGTAACAGCTATGTTCTGACCTAATGTTGGTAGAAAGAAAAAAAAGGAAAAGAAACTAATAGAATAATTATAAACCGTACTATTATCTCAGAAAGACATCCAATCGATCGACCGTGCTCGTCTTAAATTACATGTTGGCGTAGTGTAGTAAATTCTGGCTGTAGTATTTTTTTTTCCAATTTCCTACGGTTTCGCGTATAGATAGATTATCCAAATTATTTAAACTTATCTCAATCGATGCCACCATTATAGCTTGATCTTCGTTTATTATTAAATTTCGTTCGTTTAAATATTTAATCGTAATCTCAAGTTATACTCGGGGGGGCCCCCCTGTTGGATGTGCGTATCGATCGTTGATCGATTGTGTTGGGATAATTCTTCAAAACACGGCCAATAGTTCCTTTTGTTCCATACTTATTTTTCGATTAACGTTCAAGGCGCACGTCACATGCTCTTTGCATAGTAATATCACAGGCATGCGTTTCATATCGATTCAACAGCTTTCAATTGCAACGAAAAAGAAAGAGAACAGACGGTGAAGATGTAACGTGTAATTTCTTGGCTAGCTTCTTTCATTTATTCTTACATAATGAATATCAACGTACGTACCAAAATAGCAGGTGTTTTTGATCTATATCTCCTTGTGATGTATATAATCATCTTCATTTTCTCATACTTTGATTAATGATATCTGGATTGATCATCTGGATGATTGATTAATGATCTGATAAAAGGATAAAGATTAAAACTTGATCATATGTAAATGTGCCTCTTTTTTTCTTTCTTCTTTTTTCAAACGCTTATGTTTGTTACATTCATATGCAAGTGTTTAATGTTAGATTTAAAAATTTTACATTTTGCTTCATGCATAAGATCTTACTTCCTTGGCTTGTGCAAAAATACTAGAGCTCGGTGTTACGTACTACGCAGATATTTCGGCTAAAATTATTCCAACTTTGCCATTAGGACGCGCAGTTCCTTAATTTAGCTCGAAGAAATCGTAGTCACGCGGCTCACGGTCTTTGATTAACAATGTGCTTTCTAATACGGCGAAAGACACGAAAGGAAGCTTATTTTTCTTTCTCTCGTTTCTTTTTAACAGCACTGAAAATGTTCGAGCGTTAATAAAAACAATTTTCGTAAATTTTTTATCGAACGAGTAAGTTATCGATTTCTACGAAAAGAAATCTATTTTTCTTTTTTTTTTTAATCAGTATTGAAAATGTTTGGGCGTTGATAAAAAATTTTCGTAAATTTTTTATCGACCGAGTAAGTTATCGATTTCTGCGGAAAGAAATCTATTTTTCTTTTTTTTTATTTTTAATCAGTATTGAAAATGTTTGGGCGTTGATAAAAAAATTTTTCATAAAGTTTTTCGTAAATTTTTCACCGAACGAGTAATTAGCGGAAATTACTATAGTCAGTATGTTTTCTGGCTTTTGGTCGAAATTTTTTCACCACCATCTTTGATAGTTGTTCAAAAACAGTAAACAAAGAAAATGAAGTTTTGCTTTCCTACGTAGGTCACGCTTATTTTCGTCGATCTTGAAATCCACGATTCCGTAGGTTGCTCCAGTTTAGCCTGAAGCGAGACAAATTCCGTACGATCGGTACGTAGAGAAAACCCCCCAAAAAGGAACACGTTTGTTGATTTGCAGATAATCGAGACATCTGTCAGAAAAAAAAAAAAAAATCCAAAATTACACTCCCAAAATCAATCTGATTTCAGATTGCTGTTTTATAATTGACACGTTTGCAACATGCTTGAGCACGTATACCGTGCGGTCTAGTCATCCGAGGCGCTGATCCAGCAGTGACGTAATCCTCCCTAATAAGTTTCGTCGATGTTAAAGCATAACCACTCTCACAAATACATATATACGTGGAATCGTTGCAATGCGTTTCGAAGGATCATTTGGCGCAAGCCGGCTTTCAACGGGAGAAACACGCACATCAATAAAAACAGTTCAGAAATCGAGAACCCCTCTTAACGAAAGTTGGCTAAATACTAGTATACAAATCGAATCTCTCGTTTTTTCCTACAGACACGTGCCACCTCGATTCTTGCCTTCAATCTTTTAGCTAATTTTCTTGACAAGAAAAGTTAAAAAAAAAAAAAAAAAAAAAGCGGGTGTGTTGACTAACAAACATCGCCTAACGATGTTTGCCCGAGCGATTATGGCTTCCGTGTCGTTAGCGAAAAATTATCCTTCCGACCGTTTACGTTTGTGTTTCATAAGCCCCGATGCACATGTATCCTATTATCGGCGGTTTAACGATGTAGCACCGTGTTAAATGTACGTCGCCGGCCAGAAATAACGCCTCGTTGACGTCACCGGTGCCAAAAACGCGATCGCGAGATATCCAAGTTATATTTGTTACGGTTTCGTTGTACGATTCAATTTCATGCCGAGAACGAAAATGATTTTCTCGTCCCGTCTAGTTTCGTTTCGACAGAGACGAATGTACAGCACGATGCACTAGAGGAAAGTGACTATTCGTTAGGATCGTAGTTGAAAACATCGTGGCGTTAAAGATCGTCGAGTTGAAGGTACTGTCGCTGTCATGTAAACATTAATCTTAAGTTGAATCGTGAATTAATATTAAATTTTGTTGAGTCGTGTCAAACGAACGTCGGACTTGCCAGTGGCAACATTTGAATTATTTTAAAAAAATAATAATAATAATCGTAATCTTTGTGGCTTAATTTTTGCGTGCGAAACATTATGTAATTGTAGTAATTTTAGCCATCATCGACGATCACGAATCAAAGGGGAGGAGGGAGGTTCCAATTTGATCGATCCTCGAGATCGTCACGTGAGCCATATGTGCTCACACATACACATATACACGCGGTTTTCGTACGTGCACCGGCAATTGACAGTAAGAACTTGGAAAATTACGTTCGTCACGCGGAGAGACGAACCACCACGAGGCGCACGGGATCGGTGTGTCAGTTGCAGAAACAGAATATAGAGGAGGGTCGATCGACAACAAACCGTAGTCTGATTCCTAACTTGTTCGAGGTTAACTCGTACACGTTCGAAAGTTCCATTCGATCGACACGTATCGCCGTGAGTGCAACGTATTTGTCAAGAAGGTCCGAGAAATCCAGAGAACACCAGTCTCTTCCTCTCCCCCCTCTCTCTCTCTCTCTCTCGCCCCTGAGAGAAAATCAGCTCGAGTCGGCTCAGATGTGACAGTTAAACGTTGCTCGTTCGTCGCGAACGACAACAGCTCGTTGTAGGGACCTTTGATCGAAAAGTTGCGCGTGTTGCACGAGTGTTGCACGGAAGCAACCGAGGACGCTTTCTCGTCAAGTTCTGTCACCGGGCGACCATAAATGTTCCGTCGAATCACCGAGAGACTCGTGTTCGCGCCGGTGGTCCGCCATTGGAAACGAAAGTTGATGCTCGTGATCACATGAACGATCGTTGCGGCAAAAAGGACACGCGTACAGTAAGTTTGTTGCGCGCTTCCTTGGCACGTTGTCCGAACCGACAGGCGACAGAAGGATCGGCTCGTTTCTCATTCCTTGTTTCTATCAACGATTCTTCTTCTTTTTACAGTTTCACGCACGACGAAAATCCCATTCTAATGATACGCAGGTGACAATTGTGATTGGTCAGTTTCAAGTATCGGGAAGAAATACAAAACAAAGTTGTATTCGAGAAGTTGAGATCCTTTTAATGTAATCGAACTGCGCAACTCAACTCTGTACACGATACATGTTAAAACCGTAAGAAGTAATTTGATTTGAAAAAGAAGTAAAAAAATAGGAATACCGTACGACGTGTCGTTACATAACACCGGTGCAAAATCTCCTTGCTACTTTTTATCGAGTAAAGTCAGCTAGAAGCATCCGTAAAAATGCAGCTTTTCTTTGCCTTTGCGACGAACCTATACCGAACGAGTCACATTGATTATTTTGAAGGTTACGGAGATGTAATAGCTCGTCGTTAAATAATCTTTGCATTGCCCCGAGATCCCCTTTGACACTAAAACTAGAATGAAAAAGTATATATTTGCAGCAAAGAAATTAGTGCAAGGTAGTTAAAAGAAGTTAATAATACAATAAAGAACACAAATTTCTATTAAAAATCACTCGAGTGTCTAAAAATATACTGTTATAGATATATAAATTATAAATTAGTCATTTTGACTATTTTGGTAGCTCTACTGTTAATGGATAGGAATAGCCAACAATTATACAGAGTGGGCCGAAAGGTCACTTCCTACTAAAATAAATCCGTAATTTTTTTCATATATTTTCATATATTTTTTTTTAACATTTGAGAGAAATAATTTTTAAAACATAATGAAAAAATCATGTTTGAACTTAAATTTATTTTAAAATTATTTTTTCTTATATTTTCTTATATTGTTTTATTAAAAAAAAAAAAAAAAAAAAAAAAAAAAAAATAGGTGGGAAGAAACTTTTGGTCCATCGTGTATTATGTCATAGAACATTTCTGACTGATTTAAAATAATTTTAGAGCAGGTGTTATTGAATTAGAATTCCAGTAAAAATATTCAACTCTTTAATTCATGCGTTAATCTATCGCCGCCTTTTATCGTTATTCGTTAAATGGATGTGTACGCCTATAAAACGTCACTTGACGATTACAAAACTCGTTACAGCTTGATTGTGCATTTCTATGTCTGCGGCTTTACAAAGTAGTGTCCTTTACGTCGTCAAATATTGTTTTCGTTGGGGCAGCTCGAAGGTACGATAAAACGCGTAACGACGTGACCTACCTCTCATGGTTGACGCTCTCAAAAGACATTTCTCTCTAACACTGATCGATTACAACCCGGCGTATCCTTTTTCTCTTGTTGAAAGTCCGGCTCACACTCGACTGTGTAACTTTTCGATTTCCCAACGACGGATGTTGTCAGACAAATTGAATCTGTACAAAAATATGAAATTTCATATCGCGATATTTTTAGATTCATATCTCCGCGGAGATGTTTTTAAATCTTAAATTTACATTTACTGATATTTTTAAATTTGCACATTTTTGTTTGCATACTTAATTTACATTCGTTCGTGCAAACAGGAATTGCATTGACTTGTGCTTTGCAATTTCCTCGTTACTACCACTTATTATATAGGGCAGCGGTTCTCAACCTTTTCCTTCTTTCGTACCTCTTATAAATCCCACCACCTTAAAAAAGTTTTCCAATTTTTTAAATTTCTAATTTTTTAATTTTTTTAATTTTTTAGTTTTTTCCACCCATCTCTCAAACGTGTTTTTTTTTTTAATTTAAAAAAAATTTTTTTTAAATTTCTTTTAATTTTCTAGCTAAACAATCGAACGATTCAAATTGATCTAATGACGTCTGTAGGCTCTTATTTTTGATTTTGCATTTTACAATTGATTTCAATTTTTCGTAATAGCAGTCTAACACAAGATCAAGACCACTAAAAAAACAGCATTAAAATAGCATAAGTCACTCTTTGTAAATCGAAACTCTATGGCCTTGTTTTTGTGTTTTTATTTCAACTACTTTTTTTGGTGTTTTTTTCGTCATTACCAATATTATTTTCGCATGTTCCTAGAGATACGCGAATCACAGGTTGGGAACCGCTGATACAGGGGATGATTCATAGACTATTTCTCAAATTTTTCTGATTCATTTACATCTCGGTAGAAAGAGCAGCATGTCGGAAGGAATTTTCTCTAACGGTTCGTTTTCTTCCAGCGTCCGTGACAACGTGGTGAACGGCGTGATCCCTGCGAGCGATTGTAAGATCTGCAAGGATTCAAAAGACGAGCCGAAAGATTTCGAAGGCGCGTCGTTGCTTTGCGCGCTGAAACCGCGTAAACGGAAAGAACGTCACGAATCCTGTTGTCAAGAACGAAAATTGATAAGGTACGATAAGGGACGTGTGAAAAAAAAATGTTTTTCCAGCGAAGAGATTAGACACGGAAACTGTACAGACGCTTGTTCGATTTGCGCTCGTACTCCCTTTCACGAATTGAACGCTTTTTCAGAAGCAGTAGCGAGGAACGTGTTCTTGAAAGTCCCACCGAAATCACGGACACGATCAGACGCGTGAGCAGTCACGAGGATTTTAACAGTGAGAAACATTTGCACATTTTGTCTCAACTCGGACAAGACATGGGTCATGGTGTGGTAAGTTTTCTAAATGTTCAAGTATCTGTCACGCGTGTAGATGTAAATTGCGCTTTACAGACGCGAGGTATTTTATATTTGTAGAGATGCGGAAGTCTTCCCTTGCACGAGAGAACGAATGTTTCACCAGTGTCCAAGAAAACCCCACCGATCTCGTCGCCGTGCGAAACAGTGTTAGAAACAGAGAAATTCGAATGCGACGCCGAAAAACTGAGAAGCAGCGAACGTTTCAGTCGAAGCATCACGCCGAGAGGACGAAGGCAGGCTCGACGAAAGAGGGTGCACAAGGTTGCAGATGCAGAAAATTCCAGTAAGGTAAAATTTCTATTTGTTCTCTAGCGTGAAAGAATGGAAATGTACGTGTGGAATGTGCATTAACGCGAAACTGCAATTGCTCCGTTAGGAGAACGAAGAGGAAACCGATAACATTTACGTATCGTCGAACCCCAGCAGCTGCAATGGCTCTCCGGCACAAAGTTTCTTGGAAATGTTGAGCAGTGGACCGAGCCGATCGCCATCGCCAGCTCGCCCGCCAACAGTTAGTCATGAAGATCTGAATAATCCCAGCTTAACTAATTGGACTTTTCAACGACAAGAGAATGTAAGCAAAACTAGAACGTTAAACTCAATTGCCGATCATTTTCAATGACGATGGTTTCAATGACTAATCTCACGTTCCCAGAGTGAAGCTGCCGATGCACGAGTAGAAGCTATGCTTTCTCCGCGAAATTCTTTATTGCTGCCCAGACGTTTTTATTCTGAAAATGAAATGCAACCGGGTGCTTCGAACATCGCGGAACTTGGTTTAAAGAATTTAACCAAATACATAAACGGCTTGAAGAAAAAGATAAAGAAGTACGAGGATGAATTCGAGGAAAATTTTGGTTACCGTCCGAGCCATTCTGACAAAATGAGCAACAGGGATATCAAACGATTGTGTACAGAATTGAGTAAATTGCGGAAGGAGCATAAGTTGTTGAAAGAAGACCCGGTCAGCGCGTTATTGGCTAATGTAAACAATAGAATGAGAGTGACTAACGGTAGCCCGACAAACAACAATAACAGTCAAGAAAAGTCTAGAGCGGTGTCAATGGAAGAAATGATAACAGAGATAGAAAAGAAACTAAGTGAGAAGAGATTAAAATATAACAGACCCGAGAGTATGGAGGAATTAACCTACGAGCAACTGATAGACGAGAAAACTGCTGTTCAGAAAGCTTTGCTTCACATTGAAAACACTTTTGGCAGACCAGTTTCTAAAGAAGACAGAACTATCGTACGACCTTTGTATGATAAATATAGAACTTTGAAAAGATTGCTTATTAGGGCAGGCGTGGTAAGCAGCATATTTTATAAACCTGTGTGTAACTACCACGTACATACATGTGCAAATTATCTTTAACATTTCTTTCTGTTTCTCTTGTAGAGTAGAAATAAAGATAGTATTCCAGAATTAGCTACTATTTTGGAGCATGAAGCAATGGATTTTACATCGTCCAATTTACCTAATAATCCATCTGATACAGAGAGGAGAGCTAGCGAACCTGATATGTCACATAGAGGTATTTTGGACTGTATAGATTCGATAGATCAATTACCAACTGATAGTGATAGTCAGCACAGCAGTAGCGAAGGAAGCCGTAGTAACAACGAAAGTCTTCATGCACTTCCACAGTGAGTGTCTAATATCTGATTCATTAAACTGTCCCTTAAAAAAAAAAAAAAAAAAAAAAAAAAAAAAAAAACAAAAAAAAAAAAAAAAAAAAAAAAAAAAAAAGATACTATAAACAAATCGGATAATTTGATTTTAGAGAGGAATTATTGGCGCAACAACAATTAACCAGGGAAGAGAAAAAGCGTTTGCGACGTGCTTTAAAAGAATTGGAAGCACAATTCGAAGCTCGTGCTGGTCGTAGAATGCAAAGGGAAGATCGTGGCCCGCAAGTCACAACCGTTTACGAATCATATAAACAGGTTAAAGCGAAGCTTCGACTGATTGATGCTCTTGTAGCTAAAAATGCTTGACGCAGTATTTAATGACTACATACATTCAACAACAAAGAGAACTTCGAATATTATGAAACATTCGAAATATATGCAGTGATTATTATATGTACCACCGAACCTTTGTACAACATTCACGTGATTATAAAAAAATGCTATTGTGCAAGAGCAGTGACAACCAAAAACATTTTTGACAACAGAAAACGAGGCAATATGATAATTTTAATTTGTCCAGAAAATCAAAATATTTTAAGAGAAGAATGAAAATGATCGTCGTCTCTGATCGCAATATCTTGACTTTGATTCTTGACTTTGATCTATTGATTACAATTGGTCAACGACCTATTTTAAATCAAACTGATATAGAACATGTTTGCGAAACTCTGAGCTAATCTCAGAATGCTGAATTCAGTTCATTGAAAGATTCATTTCCCTTTAACTCTGACGAAATAGTAATAGTCGTTGCGTGTAACGATGATATTTTATACGAAATATTTTCAACGATAATTTCTATTATTGTATTTAACTAGATTGTTTTGATAAGATTCTTGTTATTTCGATGATTCATTGAAGTGCTTATTATAAAGTGATATCTTACGATAATAAATAATAAAATTAGTACCAGGTTAGTATTCTGAACTCTAAACACTAATAGTTAGAAAGTGGCTACAGCGTTATAAACAATCTGTCGATTTGCACCTGATTTCCTTCAGATATTCAACATCGATAAAATAAGGAAATGCTTATTGCATGGTTACTGTAAATTTTGCCTATTTATATACATAAGGACATCACGTAACAAGATATTAAAGACGTGCCACTGATTTGTTTCATTTTAAATTTTGTACGTATTTTTAACAGTATTGTTTAAAATTTCGCCTCCTTTTTCAGTAGAAATTTAGAAAAGTTTATTTTTCATGTTGCATTATCTGCATATGCGCGTTATATTACGTAAAATAAAGACAGTTTATATTCGTGGATTTCTTTACGCGTTCGATTAAATATTGAGTATATAAATAAACAAAAAAAATAAAGAAATGAATTGTGTTGAAACGAGAAATTGTTACATGTACGTATTTTGATACAAATCGATGAACACGCAAGAGTAAATTACAAAAGAGCATTAAAAACGAACAATAACAAGTGATTTCATAATAATTGAAATGAAATTAACGAGTGCATTATATGCTAATCTTTTTTTTAAAATAGCCATTAGATATTTATATACTTTTTCTTGTACTTTATCGGTTAACATTTTCAAATTACTATTATTAACAATCTTATATCTTTTTTTTTTTTACATTATATAATATAGAATATCATTTTCTTTAAAAAATCAGTATGCCAATTGAACGGAAACAGAAAGAACAAATATCTACAAAATTATACATTATTTAAACTAAACTTGATACTTATTTCACTTGTTCAAAGATTATCATCAAATTGAACGTTGAGAGTAAAGAACAGATCTGTGGGGTTATTTGTAATGTAAGTACCTTGTAAGAGATATCACATGTTACAATTGTAGAGTACTATAAACTGTTACAGTCTTATAGCTGTATTAAACATATTCATCAAAATCTCGTTAGTTTTTCCGTTTTACATTTGTACAAGTAAAATTTTAAGGCGAATTATTCTGAAACAAATGCAGATATAATGTATGTAAACGGTAGCCTTAAAATTCAACTTGATAAAGCGTCTTAAACAAAGGTGCTAGAATTTTAGTTTAAATCGTATTAAACGAAAGAAATGCTTTGCGAATTTTTATCGACATGGAAGTGCGCCAAAGGGGTACGCGTTTTCATTATGATTTTGTAGGAAATGAAGGCTGCAGAGCTTACCTAGCATTTATTAAGAAGTTACAATACCAGTGTAGGAAGTATCCTATAAATTAATATATATGTATATATATACATATATATGTATATGATTTAAAATCTTGACTAAAATTGATCAATGTTCAAATTTTTAAATCTATTATAAAAAGAATTACTAAAATATTATCTGCGTAGATTCAATTGGTTCCTTCTGACATATTTTGATTTAATTTATGTTTACTTTATTATGAAAAAGTTATGGCGGCCCCAGCTCCTTAGCGCTAATCCATTTCGCACACTCGCATGAAAAATTTGATTTCTTTGAATATTTTATTATTGTATTGGTCCAATTGATATTTGTTATAAAATTTATCTACCGAATTAGAATATGTGGTATGAATGAAAAAGATTTTTTAGACCAAAGCATTTTTTAGTCTGTGATATAATATGAGAGATATTATTTATGTTAATATGGGCAAGTGTGTGTGAGAAGGATTTCAAATTCTTTTTTTTTTTTCTTTTTTTTTCTTTGTGGGAACGATTTCTTGACATGAGGGAATGTTTTCGGCCGTCTCCTTCGTAGAAGGTAATTGAGATCGATGATCTGTTTAAAAGATCGTAAAATAAAAGTAGTAACTTAAGTGATGTTACATTTTTTTGTACAAAAAGAAAGAAAAGAAAAAAAGAGAAATGTTGAAGTAGAAAAATCTGGAAAATCTGATGATTTAATTTAATAAGATTTACAATTTTTTTTTGTATCTTTTAATAATTTACAAAAACGATACTTTTTTTTGTTTCACGATTTAAATTTATCATTTGCAGAAACAGTTTCATAAAATTTTGTATTAAATATGACAGAACATCTTTTCATAAGATATTGAATTGATTTTGAGTGTCCAAGCAGTGATCTTTATGATAAAAATAAAAAAAGAGATACTGCCTTAGAAATAAAACAACATTTTCTATTAATGTGCTCTGAAATAAACCTCGATAGATGGTAGAAGATCTTTTTATGGGTATTAAAGCATATAATTTTGTGTAATTATTTATGAGATAAATATTTTTGCCTCTATTGACTTGAAATCTCCTATTTATGGAAAATAAGTTGATTTTTTTATTTCATAAAAGAGAAACTCACGAATTTTTACAATGTATTTAAACATTACAGACAAAAATAAAAATTGATATACTGCAAAAATTTAATTATTCTGCAGCGTTTAATAAAATTGTGTATATACATAAAAACGGTATTTGTAGATGGAAAGCAGATGCGTACATAAATATACGAAACTAAATAAATCTATTAGTTGTTATAACAAGTAGCATATAGAATTGAATAAAAGAAAAATATCAAAAATATAGTTTCTATTATACTGAATTAACCTTAACAAAATAGTTGACATTTTATAATGGCAAAAGACATTCCTTAGAGAGAAAAAATATTTTCAAGTTTATTTTACCTCATACTTTGTGTTTTTATCATTTTTTGTTTAACTTTCGATAATTTTTCACGATGATATTACATAAATAAGTTGTTTCAATGAATATCATGTAATAAATTTATTAATAATTTCAGCTTACGTGATAAATATGATGCATAATGTATTATTACTACGAAGTCAGCTTCAATTGTTTTTGAAATGTTTGGATTTGTCGTAAGAGACCGGCTAGACGAAAAGAAATAGGTTCCCTTGCGATAATGCTATGTCCCTTTCTATGAACAGATCTTTGCTGGAAATTGGATCCATTTGATCTGGTTGACATAAATGGCATAGCAGCATACATTTTATCTGCTCTCAATGGAATTTCAGTTGATATACAAACATAACTGTCTTTTTTTTGCAATAATCTCATTTGCTCTTTTAATGCCATTACCTAAGACCAAAAACATTAAAATTTTAATAAATATTGATATCGTGTAAAAACTGCAAAATGTGATTTAATTTAAAAGTTAGAAAGATAATCTTACCTCTTTATATAAATTAACAACAGTATTTATCTCGTCTTCTTTAATACTTAATTCTTTTTCTAAATGTAGCACTTCTTGTTTTAAATCTTTATCACTGCATTTTTTTGCTTTTGCTTGTAATCTTTCATACTTTCTACGTGTATGTGTTAAGAGGTATTAAATTACTAATAAAGTATAAATTATTATGAGTTAGTATTGGTTTAACTTACATGTTCATTTCTTCGAACTGATCGTGAAGATTAATGAGAACTTCCCGTATACTTTTAGAGTTTTGAGAATAATTAACTGTTGATGTGTTAGAAATGTGTTTATTACAAATATTGTCCTGTAACATATTTTGGATTAATATTCTTGATCAAATTATTTGTTTAGATAACTTTACCTGACATGTTTTGGGTTGCATTTGTGGGTTTTCTATCTTCGCGTTTACATTTTGTTGAGAAGCAAACAATTTCAACATTTTATTGTCTGTTGCATGTAATACTTGTGCTGTATTCAGTCTATTCAATTGATTCTCTGATCTAGTATCCTGTAGATAACAAAAATGAAACTTTTATACTTTGAAATGGAAAATGCTTATTTTATACTGTGAGCAAACCTTTTTTTTGTGGTTCTCAAATTTATTTTCGCTGTTGCTAATTTCTTTTGGCAGACTCTGATATTGTTCAATGGTTGATTTTAAATTCACATTTAAATTACTCATTCCTTTTCTATTATATTTTAAAAGCATATTTTCATTTTCTAATAAATGATCACCTTTATTCATAAATAAATTTTCTTTCTGTGCATGTATATCATTCATTCGAGAATTCATGTAAGGCAGTTTACTCTGCTGATCATTTATTCGTTCTATGAGAATAGACGCAGGCTTCATACCTTTACTAATTTTACGAATAAGAAGAGATGTAGCTCCTGTTGCAGCAATTTGCTTTGTTTTCATAATGCTCAGAACCTTTTGAATAAAGAAAATCTATAAGAATAGACACGGCTCATTTTTAAATTTAATAACATACTTGCTGTATATTTAAGCCTAAATTATGACTTGGAGTTATAGATGTGCCAACTACAAAAGGTATATTTTGAAAGTTGAATCTACCAAAATATGAACGATTAGCTCGCTTTAATTTTGAAGCTAAAGTTGGCATTTCATAATTATGAGTCACTATCGGATCGAAATATGATGCTTGCATAATTGTATGTTGACACTGATGTGAATTATAGTTCTCCATGGTACATACGGGAATGGTTGAAACTTTTAAATCATTATTTAAATCATTAATAATTGTATTTTTCCCTCTAAAAACAGAAATTTGTATTATATTCTTCGTATTATATATATCATTGCTAAAATCACCACTATGAATCCTTACATTGTTTTCTGACCAATTTCATACTTCTGAGAATCATTTTCAGAATTATTTATATCAGCATTGCAAACATTTTGGCAATTGTTATCTTCACATTTTGATTTTTTGGACGTGCTTTGTTGTTTATTCACAGCTGAAGATGTTAATATGTTAATATAATTCATATGATGTTCAAGTTTTGAATGTTTATTAGGAATAGCAGATGTGCTACCACTCTTTGCTGCTGCATTATGATAAATTTCCACTACTTCGTTAGATGTTTCTCGAGACTTGAACGTATGACGACTATTTATATTATCTAAAATATACATAAAAATCAATATAAAGTTCTCAAATGAACATCTTTATGTGATACTTTTTTGTTTTCGTCTTTTTGTATCCTTTTTTCCTAGAGAAGTTGTATCTTTTGTGGTCACGGTACTCCGTGAATTACAGCAATTTATTTTTCTTCTCCGTTTTTTAATTTTCATCGAAACAATGTCATCTAATTTACACGAGGAACCTTTCTTGCTTGATAATGCCAAAGAAATTGCTCTTTCTTTTTTCTCATTTTTTGCAGAGATTTTACTTTTATCCATGAATTTGTCTTTAACATCATGAGAAATGTTCAATTTCATATCATCTCTCATAGGAGATGATTCTTGAAATAAATAATCATTCTGATTATCCAAAATTAATTGTTCAAAGGATTTATTCAAACTTTCGTTATTTTCTATTAATTCTGTAGAATATTCTGTTAAATGCTTTTGATATGGGAGGGATTTCCAATTGTAATTGTGTTCTTCACACTGCTAATAAGATTTTTATGAATATAGTTATGAAGAACAACTTTCTTTAGAATGCACATCAAATATATTTGTGATTTAAACATGATACATACTACCATGTTCTCTTTCTGAAATGGTAATAACGATCTTGATCCAATATCTGTGTTTTGTGGGGTAACAGAAGTTTGAGGTGTAATCAAAGACAATTCAATTTCTGTTTCTTTCTGTTTATTGAAGTCTTCTTGTTTTTCTTCATGTATCTGTTGTAAGTTACTATTTGATATAACATTTGCTATGTTTGAAGTTACAGAAGGTTCATCTTCATGGATCATGTTGTCTGTAACATGGACTAATTTTAATTTATTTTTTATGATTTACAATAATAATAAAGTAAAAAATAATAAAAAGTATTAAGGATTACATTGGACACTGGAATACTCTTTCAAGGAATTATTACAATCCGTTTGTTTGGAAATTACATTTTCATTGTTATTAGCAACCTTAATTTTAGAATCTTGCCAATTCGGATCATGCAAAGCTTTTTGAGTTTCTTGTATTTTTGGATATTGCATATCGTGATATAACATTTTCATATATTTCATGTGAGATTTCAAAGAGTCGCATCTTTCTTTTGTAGAATAAAACCATTGTTTCACATTTTTTACATCTAAATGGATGAAAGTCAGTATAATTAAATTTAGTACAGATAAATGTAGATTAAATTGTTATGGCCATAGTATAAATGCGATATAAATTAATTATAGTACAATAACATTATTATCAGTTACTTGAATGTATTTAAACTATGCATGTAAAACGTATACTTAAATACCAGAATAATATTTCTTCTTGCTATTAATATCCATATTTTGTTCTCGTTTAATTAATATACATAGTTTATTTATTAAACAGTCATCGTAAGAGGTTACTGGTAAAAGTTGAAAGTTTTTCAACAAATAAAAGGAAATTTGTGACGATACAAAACTAAAAGAAATCTATAAAAAAAATTCAAGGAATAAGAACTCACAGGTTACGCTTTTTTTTATTGTTTATCGATTACATTTTTAACCATATATCTTTTGTTTTCGATATGTTCTTCTTTCGTTAAAAGAAAATCGTCGACACAGAAATTTTTAGTTCTCGCTAGAGGCCTGGAAAATACTTTAGTTTTCATTCAAATTTGAATGCCCTTTACTTGACTTACGACTCTGAAAGCCACATTTATGTTATTGCAACATTGTTTCCATTCGATCCATCAACATTTCGAAGCTTTAAGCTCGTGTTGAAGATTATATGTTCCTCAACATTAGACGAGAGCCAAAATCATTTCTAGACAAAGAGTAGAATGTAAAAATATTTTTAATGAATATATGTATATAAACGTACAAATACGTTTCTTTCAATTGAGATTTTAAAAACCTAACATATTCTGACAATGATACGTTTCGTAACGATCTGTAGACAGTTACATAGTCATACATTTAAAATCGAGCACACATCAGTTTTGTCGCAATTAATAAAAAAAACCTAGCAGAATCTAGAATACCTAGAGAAAAATTTACTAATTCTAGAGGCAGCCCTAGTAAATTTTTCAAATCGGATATATGTAATACTGATGTGTGATATTACTTGATCGGTAGGTGCGCTGTGATCTGTTTCTTGGTTATATTTTAAGGGACGCGGGGTCGATCTACCTGTGAGTTGCAAGTGGTGGGTGGACTGTCATCGTTTGTTTCGTTAACATCAGGTACGTGGATTTGTATTTCATTTTATCTTTTTTTTTCAGTCGTCGGCAAAAAATAAACGTGATTTCGACGAACTCATTGTTGGCTGTTCCGCGAAAGACGTCGACTTAACTAGCTGATGAATTTCTTCTGAAATCATATCTTATGACATATCTGATTACGTAAAATTGTTGCGCCAACCGAAAATAGTCACCTGACTTAATAAATTTAGTTGTCTCTTTCCTGTCTTTATCAGAAAACAAATTCACTTGTTTTCGACATTTATTTTCGACTTTTACACCAATGAGACGACGGTAAAACACTCTTGGTGATGAAATTGAATAACCTAACAGCACGAATGTGTTTAAATGATTTTTTTATACATGTGATATATATATATATATATATATATATATATATATACATGTATATAAAAATGCAATTGTGTAATCGAAGCTGTAAGCATTTAGACTTCTACAGCAAGTTTTGCATCTATTTTTTTTTTTGTAGTCTCGTCTTCAAGATTTATTTATATTCATTTTCTATTCATGCTAAAATATCGGTGTTTTATCACGCAAGCAAATGTCACATGTTTCTGACATTGTCTAATCGACAACGTCGAAGCGATAATTTTTTATTTTGACTAACCTTCGCAAAACTTAGAAATCCATTTTAATTAATTTTGCTCTTATCGAAATCACTGTACGAAGTAATTTAACATGAAATCGAAACATTAATACGAATTCGGAAGATAAATATCAGAGTTGCTGTTATCGTAAAATACGAACGATAAACATTACATCAGTATTTTGTCATGCTTATTTGTTATTGTTAACTTTTGTTTTTCCCCTAGAGTAAATTTTCTATTTCTAATTGATATATATACTAATTACTCGTAACATGTAACAATTGATAATTTATTATCGTCTGTTTATCGTTGTTTAATTTAATTAATACGAATATTTGGTTTTTTTGTCTGTTTTAATCTGAATTGCACAATGTTACGCCATAATTATTATAATCTAACCTAATTTTTTTAATTGTAGATTTATTTATGACATTGTATCGCATATTTATAGCGTCATACGACAGAAAAAATTGAACATAAAAAGCTTATGATGAATTTTGATCTTTGTATGTTTTGATTTTTTTGCGTGACTTATATTAGTCATTCATTAATAACAAACAAGGTTAGTCGTGCAGACTAGTCTGCATTATGATGTAAAATCCTTTTTGTTTGCTATTAATATATACAGATTCATATTCAGTCTATTTATATTGACATCTTAATTTCAAATTTATACTAAATATTTACATTTTTTTTTCCAACATCTGATTTTATTACAAGAAACTTATTTTATGTTAGTATAAAATTATAAAAAAGTATAAAATTATTAAAAAAGTTGATATATATATATTTTTTTCTGCTTTTCGTTTTTTGCACATAGTATAATAGTATGTTTTGGACGTTTGCCATTTCTCAAGTATGTAGATATGTTCGAAAAAAAAGATATATTTTATATGTAAAATATGTATGTCCAATGTAATTTATTAGACTTATAATTCAGATCATTATTTATTATATTATTTCAAAGAAACATATGACGTTTTAATTAATACTTTCAAAAATGCATATTTTCCATAATTGTATGTGATATATATCTACATATGCAAATTGATTTCATCATATACCAAAGTTGGCCCATTATGCATGGTTGCCCAATTGGAATCTACAAATACATTAAAATAAAAAGAAAATATAAAAATATTTTTTTATAAATAGAATAAAGTCTTGCAAAATAATTTCATTATAAAATTATTTTGCAAAATAGTAGAATATATTGTCAATTCTGAAGAAATACGCTAAAGTTTAGTATTAATTAATGTATCTTTTCTTATCGAAAATTAGGGTAAATAAAGAGCAATTTCTTTTGAAAGAAATCAATAAAAATATTAAAGATTTTTAAATATCTTTCAATAAAAAGTATTTGTTTTTTGTGTGAACAATTTCGTGAAGTAAAAGATAATATAATGATAAGATAAATATAATAAAATGTTTATTTATCCATGGTTTTAAATAGCATAATTATACCACAAAATAATATGTAATTTTAAACTTAATAAATATGTTTTTATATTATAAATTATAAACTTAATAGATAAATTTAATATATTGATACCAATATTTGTTATAGGTAAAAATGTATAAGGCAAGGACAGTGTTTAGTACATTGGCGCCTTTAGCGCCACGAATGTGTAGGCCTGAAAGATTTGCATCATGGTTGGTTCGGAGTCATCCCCTGACAAGGACCACACAGGTGATAGTCACCGAATCAATCAGAAAATACAGCAAGGTAGCCACAGAACCATTTCTCAATGGCAGCTCTAGCTCTTATGTAGAAGAAATGTATAATGCATGGCTACAAGATCCTCATAGTGTACACGTGGTTAGTAAAAATTCATGAAATATATTCTTATTACAGGAATAAATATTGACAATGTCTCATGAATTTTATTATTTTTATTTTTTATAGTCTTGGGACTCATTTTTCCGTAGTACTACTGCTGGAGCTGCACCAGGTCTAGCATATCAGGCTCCTCCTTCTCTTGCCCCAAGTCATAATCAAGTCCCATTAGGAGCATTGTTACCACTTGGTGGAGGTGGACAATTGAGCCAAATACCGATTAATGAAAAGATCATTGATGACCACCTGGCTGTTCAAGCTATTATTCGTTCTTATCAGGTATGTTTATTTTATGCTATATATTAAAAGAAAAGGAGTAATTACAATTATGTTTCAACAAAATATTACGTTTTCAAGCACTTCAAATTCTTTATGTATGTGTCATAAAAAATGTTTATTGAATATGTTTAAATATTTTAATTTTACTTTTTATCTTATATGAGATATCCAATTTAAGTGAAATTATATAATGTTTTATGGCTTCATGTTAAAGCTTTTAGATGTTCTATCTTATTTTTTTAATTATTAGGAAAGGTGTTTTAATATTTTGATTGTAATTTAATTATTATTTTATCTTGAAACATTATAGCATGTGTTCTAGAAACATTGTATGTATGTTTTATGTTGAAGGGAAATTTCTACTATCATATTGCATGTAATATTAAATAAACGTTTCTGCTCAATTTCTATATGCCCTAGAAATTCTATATATCCAAATTTTTATTTTTCTTCTTAATATTATATTTATATTCAGTAATTTAATTGATATGTTCGATAATTAATAAAGAAAAAAAAAAACAGTTCAATTATATAGGACATAAGAAATTGATACTGAAACTATTTCATTAAGGGCTATCATGTGTTTCATAAAATAATCCATCATCGTGTACTATTATTCAGAAAATTAATATTTCAAACATTGATTAGGAATATCAGATTTTATATTCAAGTACATAATAGCCTCATTAGATGCTAATTGCATCTATTATCTTTAGCATGTTCTGCAGCTAAATATTTCCCACAGATTATATGTTAGGTTTGTGATGTAAGTTATAATTGTTACTGTTCTTATTGTTAATATATTCAAGAGAGAAAAATCAATAAAAGAATTAACATTAAAAGATAATTGATCTTCAGGAAGTAGATTAAGGTCATATTTATTAAGCAACAATTATAATTATATAAATGTATCTCATAAAATTAAAATTTTATAAAAAGATTATATTTTTGGTTTTAAGGAATAGTTACATACGTCACTGAAAAAAATGTAATATAATATATATTTTTAAATGTTTTTAGAAATGTACAGATTAAAAATTTTAATGTGCTATAATTAGTATTTAAAGATAGTTAAGTGGTGATTATATTTAATGACAATATTGTATTTCTATAATGTAGTAATATGTGGTAGTTAAACAAATAGAAAAAGTGATATATATTGGGGTCCTTGTGGAATTATTCATTGACATATAGGCTCGAGGTCACTTAGTTGCTGATCTGGACCCACTGGGTATCATGCAAACAGACCTGATACACACACATTATGCAGCCCGCAAGGGGTCTCCAGAACAGGTTCTGCGACAATATATGCTTGGTAAGGCTTTTTTACCCAAACCATTTCGTTAAATTACTTTTAGTTTTCATATGTACAAAGGTAAAGGTGTACATTTCATACGTACATTTCAAATCTGGTTTTAGATTATATATGTTTCGTTCCCTTAGTCAAAATTTGTATGAATATTACCATAGTTAGAGTTATTAGAACATTTTAAAACACCTTCACCAAATGTATGTTATATTTCACATCACAAAACAAACATCATGGTTCTCATCATATGCATTAACTCCTTCTGAATCATTATCATAGCTTTCTACTTCTTGTATATCCTATGTATGATATAATAAACATACTTTTTATTTGGAACAGTAATTAAAAAATCTTTCTGTTGTCTATATTCTTTAAAAGAAGTAAAACACATAAATAATCGAAGTAACTTCGAATATATATTTCAAAAAAAAAAAAAAAAAAAAGAATGCACAAAATTTATAAAAATTGTATGAGTATGTTGAGAAGGTGTTATGCAAATGTAAGTCCACGATAAGTTTTACTGATACTGAAAATGTTCTTAAAAAAGAGTGGATGTAGTGGAATGTTTATTGATTTAGTTTTATAATTTGCATTGATATTATATTACATATGTTAAATGTAATGAATGTATTAGTATTTATTATGTATCATTAAATAATGTGCATAAGTAAAGTTCTTATCCAAGGTAAGAAAATGTGGAAATCATTGCTATGCATGCCTGCAGATAATATTAACAGCTTTGCTTTTATATGTTTGCAATTACTACTTGGAATGTTTGTTTCTAGAACAACTTATTATTTAACTTATGTATACCATATACTTGCTTAATATAATCCTTAAAAAAAAAGAGTAAAATAACGAATATTGAAATATTATAGCTTTAAGTATATAAATAACAGAGTCAGTAATAGAAAACATATGTATAACATGCTTTAACTATTAAAATACCAATATTAATGAATATTTATTTTATCAATGTTTGCTTTGAATTACTGTGATATGATGTTTTTAAAAAATAATTCATTTTTTTAATTGCTTGCTCCTTGAAAACATGTATGTCAATATTTTAAGACATATTTAAATGAACATTAATCACAGTAATTTTAATGTATGTAATGAGTTGATAAATTTGAACTAAAAACTACTTGGTTCGTATGAATGTGGCGTTAAATTGACAGATTCGTGGCCATCATATCGCTAAATTGGATCCACTTGGCATCAACAGCGCTGATCTTGATGATAGGCATCCACAAGAGTTGCTCTATAATCATTATTCATTCGGTAAGCCTAAATGAATGTGTTTCTGTATAAAAATCAAAGGAATAAAGGTATAAAATGACGCACTTTACGTGAAATAAAGAATATCAAAAATTGAAATATTGCAATATGATACTTGTTATTATTATAATTCATTTTCTTCTTGGACACAAAGTACAGCATTATAAATAAAAAAAATATTTTTTAATTTAAACAGTATTACAAAGTTAATTATTAAGAATCAATAAAGTGAAATTGATATTGTTTTTGTATAAATATGTATATTTAAATAGAATGTCAGGAAATAGAGCACATACTATTATTTATTCTGCAATATAAAATAGCACTTATGAAAAATAAGAATTATAATTCAATTGAAATTGCAATATAAAACCTTTGTTAAATTAGTATTTTAGGGGAGGCAATGGTTCACTTTACATAAAAATTGGTATTAAAGGCAAATTGTAAAGGTGCTTGGGTCTTTCACATGAACATTGATTTACTTTGTTTATTTTGCTGTATTTGTGCCAGGAATGATTTCTAAATGCTTCTTCTAAAAAAATTGGAGGAAGTATATTAAACAAATGATAATATATATAATGTAATAAAAAATATATTTATAAATATTTTTATAGAGCATACTTCTTGCAAATATTTCCTCTTCAAGTTCCTACTTTTGCATTTCCCGTTTGTATTTGTTAATATTATTTTTCAAATTTCCACACTCTTTTATTTCATTTTGTATCTTATATGACCAATGATACAAAGATTTGATCACACTATTACCATTATATTGCTACTATTTTAGTATTGTTGGTGATTGTTTTACTAATAATGCTTTATTGAGATTACCATTTTGTATGTAAACATTTTTTTCAGTTTTCCATTTATTTCTACTCTTACAAATATTGAGGAGAAAAGGTTTGTTATGGTCTTGGTTTAATTTTTTTTTTTTTTTTTTTTTAAAGACATGGTGCATGTCAAATATCTTGTATATGTATTCACGTATAGTATCAAAAAAGCTATTTGCATATATCCATATTGCAAATATAGAAAAACTGCATTTCAGTTTTGTATAAAGCTTTTCTCTTTTCGCTCCATAAATAGTTTTACATTTTCAGTATCAGTTACAAAAATATGTATACTATATTTTAATAAAAAAAAAGTGCGTGTTATATATAATAAGTTTTACTACAAAAGACATTTTTTTTTTATCCATTTGAAATATTTTATATAAATTTTACTATAAAGATATGATTTTATTTTGTTTTGACCTTCTATTATGTTTATTTTTATGTATATTTTTAAAATAATCAGATATATTACTCTACAGAGGAGTCGGACATGGATCGTATTTTCAAGTTGCCATCCACCACTTTCATTGGTGGCAAAGAAAAATCATTGCCGCTTCGTGAAATCTTGAAAAGATTAGAATCTGCTTATTGCGGTCACATTGGTGTGGAATTCATGTTTATCAACTCCTTGGAACAATGCAATTGGATTCGACAAAAGATGGAGACTCCTGGTGTCATGGAGATGACGAACGATGAAAGAAGACTTATTTTGGCTAGATTAACTCGTGCAACTGGGTATGTAAAATGTCAAAGTGTAAATACCCTTACATTTATACCTATACATTTATAACAACAAAATGTTTACTACTTTATGTATTTCCATTGTAGATTTGAAGCATTCCTTGCACGCAAGTGGTCATCTGAGAAGAGATTTGGTTTGGAAGGATGTGAAATTCTGATCCCTGCTATGAAGCAGGTAATTGATAAATCAACTGAATTAGGAGTTGAATCCATTGTCATGGGTATGCCCCATCGTGGCCGTTTAAATGTCCTTGCTAATGTTTGCCGCAAGCCTTTGAGTCAAATATTTACTCAGTTTGCGGCTCTCGAAGCAGCTGATGATGTAAGTGCATATGATACTTCTTATATGAAATTTTGCTATTTCGTATACGCATGATATTTATGGATTCTTAATAATTTAGGGCTCTGGTGATGTCAAATATCATTTGGGCACATACATTGAGCGCTTAAATCGAGTAACAAATAAGAACATTCGTTTAGCTGTTGTGGCGAATCCATCTCATTTGGAAGCTGTCGATCCGATAGTACAAGGGAAAACTCGTGCAGAACAATTTTACCGTGGTGATGGTGAAGGCAAAAAGGTACTACATATATGGAACAATTTGTATTGTTGGTAAAATGTTATTACCTTTCTCGAAACTTTATGATTAAACTGGATATTAATAGGTCATGTCTATTCTGCTGCACGGCGATGCTGCATTTTGTGGGCAGGGTATTGTTTTTGAGACAATGCATTTGTCAGATTTGCCAGATTATACGACTCATGGTACTGTCCACATTGTTGTGAATAATCAAATTGGATTTACCACAGATCCAAGGCATTCACGATCTTCTCCATATTGTACTGGTAAACATCTCGTTGTTTATACAAAAAATAACGTTTTTATATTTTAAAATTACTAATATTAAAATTATTAATAATTTCTTGAAAGACGTTGCAAGAGTAGTGAACGCACCCATTTTCCACGTTAATTCGGATGATCCTGAAGCAGTGATGCATGTCTGTAAAGTTGCTGCGGAATGGAGAGCAACTTTCCACAAAGATGTTGTCATTGATATTGTATCATATAGGCGAAATGGTCACAATGAGATTGACGAACCTATGTTCACACAGCCTTTAATGTATCGCAAAATTAAAAATACTCCACCAGTTCTGGATATATATGCTAAAAGTCTCATCGACGATAATGTTGTTACTTCTGAAGAAGTTAAGGTATTAAAATAAGAAATATTTTAGCTATTTCAGTACGTTTGACAATGTACATAACAATGTAATGACATTACAGGATGTTAAAGATAAATACGAAAAAATCTGTGAGGAAGCGTATACCAATGCTAGACAAGAAACTCACATCAAGTACAAAGATTGGTTGGACTCTCCATGGTCCGGCTTCTTTGAAGGGAAAGACCCTTTGAAAGTATCTCCTACTGGTATTAAAGAAGACACACTCATTCATATTGGGAAAAAGTTTTCGTCACCACCACCTAACGCGGCTGAATTTGTAATTCACAAAGGTATTAATTGGGCAAGATTTACATCAGATATAAATATGTAATTTGAAATAAGTAAACTAAACCAATCCTGCAGGTATCGAACGTATTTTGAAGTCTCGTATGGAAATGATAGAAGCACGAACAGTTGATTGGGCTCTTGGAGAAGCTATGGCCTTCGGTTCTTTGCTTAAAGAGGGTATTCATGTTAGGTTATCAGGTCAAGATGTAGAAAGAGGAACTTTCTCACACAGACATCATGTTCTCCATCACCAAACCGTGGATAAGGCTACTTACAGACCGCTGTGTTATCTTTACCCAGATCAAGCTCCATATACCGTGTGCAACAGTTCTTTGTCAGAATTTGGTGTACTTGGTAAACAGAACAATTATGACATTCAATTTGATATTACTTAGATTGGTTTTTTACAATGTGTTACTAACGAAGATATTTTTTGTTAAACTTTTAGGATTTGAATTAGGCTACTCTATGACAAATCCTAATGCGCTAGTGTGCTGGGAAGCACAATTTGGTGATTTTAATAACACGGCACAGTGCATAATTGATCAATTTATCAGCAGTGGTCAAGCTAAATGGGTGCGTCAATCTGGTCTTGTCATGCTACAACCTCACGGACTTGAAGGAATGGTAAGTTAAACATGAATTTAAAAAATTTTTTTCACGTAATGGTATATAATTATCTACATATGGTTGCTTGTTACAGGGGCCTGAACATTCTAGCGCTCGCTTGGAACGTTTTCTGCAAATGTCTGCTGATGATCCAGATTACTTCCCTCCTGAGAGCGAAGAGTTTGCCGTACGCCAGTTGCATGATATCAACTGGATTGTAGCTAATTGTAGTACACCAGCGAATTATTTCCATATTCTAAGAAGACAGATTGCGTTGCCATTTAGGAAACCTCTGATTTTAATGACACCAAAGTCGCTGCTTCGTCATCCAGAAGCGAAGTCTAGCTTCGATCTGATGCTGGAAAATACAGAATTTCTTAGAGTGATTCCAGAAGAAGGTGTAGCTTCTCAGAATCCTAATAACGTGAAAAGGTTACTTTTCTGTTCTGGCAAAGTTTATTATGATCTGAAGAAAGCACGCGCGGAGAGGAAATTAGACGACAAAATTGCTATTGCGAGAGTCGAACAGGTAAGTAATAATTTTTATCAAGTACAAAAAACTTTTTGTTTATTTTTATTCTATTAATTAAATTTATCCAAATTCTTTTGTTTATAGATATCACCTTTCCCATATGATTTAGTCAAGAAAGAAGCTGCAAAATATGCTAATGCAGAATTAGTATGGGCTCAGGAGGAGCCCAAAAATCAAGGTGGATGGACGTACATTCAACCTAGATTTCACACAGCTTTGAATGGAATTCGCTCTGTATCGTGAGTATCGAATTTCAAACAAATATTAAAATCTGAGCAATATTTCTATTCTTAACTTGTATAGCATAAATTGTTTCTGTTCTCGTTGTAATGAATATATTAACGTACATTAATACTTGTAACATAAATTACAATGTTACAAGTATTACAAGATTGCTATGTATATTTTGGCTGTCCAGTTTGTTTTCTCATATATTCATAGCTGTTCACATGGCCTAAATTTTCTACTTTGTCACAGTTTGTTACAATGTCATTTGTATGTAAATATATCACAAATAAGTAATATATTTAAGCACAAAATTTGTCAATAATTTGCGTTGTGCGCGTGCTTAGCAAAGTTAAGCAAAGTAAAAAAATTGGGCCATGTTACAGCAGCGGAAGTACGTCATACGACAGTAGGGGTAGCGGAGGGTGGTTTAGTGGTTGGTTTTCATCGACTAAACCAACGGTTGTGTCCGAGCCGCTGTCGGTAGAATCTAATAAACTCAAACAGAGAACGTTAAGGTAATGTTGGTTATAGTACTTGATTAGGATATCTGTTATAGTTTTACTTGTCATATTTTTCTATATATGATGATAACTGTAGAGAGAACAGATATATTTTAAATATATATTTTACAATTGATCCGTCAATCAACTTTTTTGTTTCAGGTATGTCGGTCGTCCAACAGCTGCTTCACCCGCAACAGGAAGCAAAATGCAGCATCTCAAAGAGCTAAAACAATTATTTGATGATTCTTTCGAACTTTAATTATCCTTCGTAGCACTATGTAGAATACATTTTATTTATTTTCTCACATTACATCCCCCTCCTGCTCTGAATATATCCTTTCAGAGATCAACACAAGTTGAAGTAATTTCTCCACTATTAATTCATTTAGATGAATTAACGTACGCACGAATATTTTCTTAATAATAACAGACTTGGTTAAGAACTTGTTATCCAGTTCTTCAAATAATTCTCATAATTCTCTTTAAATTTAATTTATATTTTTTTACGATGTGTGGTCCAGTCGTAAAAATTAATATACTGTCAAACAATTTTTGACTTTTATTAAAAGAATGATCGATTGAAGTATGAGATATATAAACTAACTTAAACAAAACGAAATTTTATTTGCAATGAGTAATTCATGTAAATACATGCATTTCATTCTTATTTAATGTTTGAATGCGATTCTATATATATATACATACATATATATATATATTTTTTAAATAAGTGACATATTTATGTTGGTATGCGAGATGAATGTTGAACCCATGCAGTGAATGAGAGAACAAGAATATTTTATTATGTAAATATATTACAAGGACGAAAATTATCTGTGTGCAACTTTCTAACATGATTTACTCATTGCTCAAAGTGCGAAGAAACAGTCGTTGTATTAATTGAAAATATTCGTGCGTTGACGTTTTGTATTTTATTTTATTTCATTAATGTACATTAATATAAAATTAACATTACGAAACAAATAAGATTAAAAAGAAAGTATTATTTTTAATTTATACAACAATTTTACGCAGAGCGTAAATATATTGATAATTACGACTGTGGAGATTTAAATGGAACTTTTTGGGGTTTGAAGATGTACATTTACGGCAATTTTTTTATTCAATTGCTTAAGCCGTAGCAAAAGACAGCCAATTTATTTAATTCTTTAATTATCGTTGCTGTATTTTTATAAAGAATTAAATGATTGGTAGGTTGGTAGGAATATACGAAGAGACTTGTTGCAGCGTTAGATTCGTTTGCGTAAAATATTGTGGAGATGTAAATTATGTGAATTTAGTAGGAAGGAAAACGTGTTTACGGGATCGAATCGTAATGTTGTTCTTCGAAAAGTTTCAAAAATTTCTCCCTTCTAAAGAAGAAAAAAGAAAAGAAAAAAAAAAGAAAGAAAAAGATATAGACAATTTGCTAGTACTAGTTGGAATATTTAAAGAAAAATATTTTACTATTACTTTATCTCGGCCGATGGTACACATTGGTTGCTGCATAGTCTGCGAAGGCACAGTATTTATATTCTACGTAGAAATTGTTTGAAAGATGGGTTTTATGAATGGAATATGTGTGGTACCGTGCAGAGAATATCAAACTTGAGTTATACGAAACAATAGCACATGATATTTTGTAATCCGCTAGAATATTATAGATGCAATGTGGTTCTGTATAAACTACGGTACTTATTCCACTCATCTTATCGTTTCTTGTTATTACATGCATAATAACGACGATATATATATATATATATATATATAGCTTTGGTTGTAAAATTTAACAGCCCAGAGTTACTAATGAAAATAAATTGAAGTTTACTTGCATTAATACAGATGTGTCAATATATCGTGATAAATATTGTAGCATCTTATTATGATATTAAATTATATTAGCTATTATCCGATATTTCTAAACAATTTTTTCTCTTTTTAATAATGCCTAACATTTTCTCTTTCAGTGTAATATATTTATTACTTAATTTTTTTAAAGATTGTAATAAGGTCATATAAAATAATAGTCCTTTTATTATATGTGACTCACACTGAATGTTTATTTAACTGTATGATTTCTTATGAAAATTTCAGCCAGTAAAAGATGAAATATACATTGATTGATGTTGACTGTAGTTCGTTCGCATATAAAATTTGCAGCACCATGTAGAAACTTCTACTCGGGTTACATGTTTAATTTATCTTTGAACGACAGTTTCTTGTTATTTTAACAATTCTTTCATCATGTTTAATTCTTCGTTATTTTTACAGTAATATTTGTTGCGATAAATAATAAATTAAACATATATATATATTTTTATATTTTATATTTTAGGTATATTTATAACGTCAGTTCGCAAATTAATAATCGGTTTGTCCCAAAACACTATACATGATCCTCTTGAAGCTGTTACTTTGATGGATTTTTTCGCCATCGTCGTCATGAGTATTTACCTACAAAGAAATTGTACTATCAAGCAATAACGAATTTCATAAACATTTGGCACGCGTAGCAACACAATAATAGCTACACGGTCACTATTTGAATTTGAATAATATTTCAGCAATAAGAATTATATTTATAAGAGTGATATGTACGTGCAAATATGCAAATGACACGTACAAATTATTGATGTAAATTTCAACAATCTTTAATGACATCTTTTGTAAAAAGGAGCGTTTAGAATTTCTTTAATAATAATTCACATAATTACAAGGGCTGTCGTGCATACATATGCGTGTCATGTACATATATATACATGTATCATATACATACATATCATACACATATGTACAGTATATTGCAAGTAGTATTTAGCCTTACTTACGTATGGTCCAACTGGACTCTTTGGTCGATATACCTGCAGATATTTATTCAGATCAGACAAAGAATAACATTTCAAACATGACAAATGTGAATTCAATTACTCTATACACGTACCCTATTTTGAGTAATCTTCTGCGGAGAGAAAACACCGGTACGCGCCGGTCTTACTTCCTGCACTGTGTCGCCGAGAGCTTCCTCTTGCAGAGCCTTGTAAGCCTCGCTTTTACTCGGATCGTACTTCATCGGTTTCTTCGGGCTGTACCATCGCATGTGTACACACGGACTATTTTTAATTCATTTGCCTCGATTTTGTCAGATCGGTTAGCAGCAGCCAGGGTTATATCGCCAATTGTTTGTTCGAGAGCGACTTTCGGACCGCTTCCATGCCCTTTTCATTAATCGAGTCACAAATATGTCTCAACTAGATCTTTGATGCCTTTTCTCGAGAATTACATGACGTGTTTTTTTTTCGTTTGGAACACTATGTTTGTAGGATACTAACCTACAGTTACTTCTACAAGACAATAACCTGTAATTCTCGAGAACTGCTTATTGATTGTACGAGTATCAAAAATTAGTGAGGCTGCTAATTTTCATGAACATTTTTTGGTTAATTATTGACTTTGGTTAATTATCTAATTATTACTACTTCCAACGGTACAGCATGCAAATGCGTAGTATGGGGTTATTTGAAAAACTTCCTTTGCTGTTTGCTTTCTTTTTTTTTTCTAGTTTCTCTAAAATCACTACACAAATTGCAGTATGTATATATATGTATATGTAGCTATCTTACGACCCTAATTACGACAGAGCGTAATAAACTGCAAAGCAAAAGAGTTTGAATCAGTAAACGCTTTATCGAACGACTATCAAGAGTATTAATTATGGACCAATGGCCACGTTGTTGTTGGAAAAAAAAGAAAACTATTCTCTGCAAGTGCCAAACGATTTTAATAAGGGGGAGGGGGAAAGAAACAGATCTAAAATAAATAACGTGACCAATGATCCACCAATGAAAATCTTCAAAGAATTCAAAACTATGAGTATACTGCGACGTGCGAGAAGCAACGAAAAACGTCTCGAACTAAGACATTAATTTGGTTTATTGAATTGCGGCCACACGTTCTTCGAGGAGGCGGTCTTGGCCTGCTCTTTCAAGATTCTCGCCTGCTCCTGTATTTCTTGTTTCTGTTTCACGAAGGAAAAGTCTATGAAAATGCTGGAAAACAAACAAACTGCACGTGAGTGTTATCCATTTAGAGAAGGCAAATATATAACGATGTAAGAGAGCTGATTTCTGTGCTTTTTCTGTTCTAGATCCAGACTCCCGGTTGTGTCGCGTCCTTGACGGTTCTATTGCCAACAAATTGATAAATCCTCTTTAGGATTTACAACCAATCCAATTAATGTCCCTCGCACTATAGATCATTCTTTCGATGCGTTATACTATTCGAGAAACGATTTTAATGATGTCCGTTAGTCAATGGCGTCAAGATTATAAACCGCTCAGAGTTAATAGTTTGACAAGTAGTAGCAGCATTCAGCAAAAACCCAAATGATATTAATGCTAGTAACTTTGTGACGCTACTGCAAGCTGCACGGCTTTATTAACCTTTGTTTTATATATATACGTACGTATGTTTATTTCTTACTTACGGTATAGCCGATGCTTGGCACTTTATAGTGTCGGCAATATTTTGCTCGGAGTAGAGTCCAATCGGCGAGTTAAACTGCTTGTGGACAACCTAAGAATAAAATTGACCAGGGTAGAAAATGATAATTCCTATAATTAGAATTAGAGATGTTGCACGGTTTAACTTTTTTCCTTCGAGCTTTTCTCACATTGAGCGTTCTTTTCTTTTTTTTCTTTTTTTTCTCTTTTTTGTCTTTTCAATGTGAATCACAAATTTACTGTCAAACACATTGAAAATACTCTATTAATTGAAATGTGGTAATTCTTTGATAATAATAGTTATTGTTAATGATGTTTTATTAGTTTCACTGTAAATTATGCAAAGAAAATTGCGAGGAGATCCTCGGATTCAAGGATTAAGAATGTAACACTGAAGAGATGAATTTTGTTAGACGTGTGTAAACTGCAGTTTTTTGAAAATAGTCGGATTGGTCGACGTTACGAAAGCGAAAGCAACTTGAGAATAAAGTGGTCCAAACCTTTGGAACTTCATTCGGTCCCAAGACACGTTGAAGTACCGTTTCTGCCACCTAATCAGATGTTGTGCAAAATGTACATAAAAATTAATACGAACGAATTCGTTGCGTTTTCTTTTTTCTTTTTTCTTTTTTTTTTTTTGTTTCAGTGAAATCGGAATACGAGAATGGTTTCCATAAACCGAGGCGTATATCGAGGCAAGATTGGATAAAATAGCGCACCTTCTGTTTCATAGCGACTTCAGGATGAGCTGGCTCGTAGTGATGCGGTGCCGCTCTGATCATCGGATTCGGATGATGGCGTAAGTAACATTCTCCAAGCGGCGCGTCCTTTTTTATCTTTGCACCCGGCAAGACCAGAGGAGTTGTGCGATACGGCTAAAAATCGACATAATCAATAAGCATTCAGATCGTATAATATCTCCCCTTTCTTATGTTTATCAGTTACAAATGAGTACAATTGTGCTCACTAATGACAATGGTGGATAAGTAGTTCCTGTACTATAAAATAAACAAATTATCAACAATAATGATAAAATAAATGATAAAAGTGAAAAAGTAAATTATTCAATAACAATAATGATGAAGGTGGTGATGATCAAAATCTAACGTTACTTATTCGTGGAAATGCTGTATAAATAAATAAGCGATAAGGATCAATTGATTATAAAATTATGAAAGAAAAGAAAAAAAAAAAAAACTAACCTAACAAGCGAAGTAGTAGGCGTGAATCGTGTCAATTATACTAACGAAAACTAAAATAAGCCTTTATTAAGGGACCACGGGTGATCGACGATGCCTCGTTAATTTTGCTGCAGCAACAGTGTTGCGACGTAAAAATAATAATGATCCACCAATTTCGGCAATGTCGACACACCTTCCGATAGTTTTCCCGCCGGTTCTGTCGAGTGATATTTTTACCATGACAACATTATACAACGGTGATGATATTTTTGGTGAACTATTGCAGCCGGAAGTAAACACGCGCTATACGAAATGCAACGCACGACGGTGAAAGGTATAAAGCGTCTAAAATTCTCTCGGGGTGTACTTGGCTCGTGTCTGTACGTACAATGAGAAAATTGCAGAAAATGTAGCGTAGCGTTGCGAACAAAGCGCTTGCCAAGTATTATATTTCCCGCGGTTACGTTACTTGTCGTTCTAACGCGAAATTGCGAAAATGATCAAAGACTAAGATACATATGCGTATCGTTGTTGCGTTTTTACGAACGATCTTTCGGCGAAGGAGAACGCGAGAAAGAGAGGATCGTCGAAACCTAACCTAGTCTAGAAGCGAACGATGTTCGATCACTCGCTGTCGTCATTGCTGAAACATGACGAAAATGAGAATGTCAAGTGGAGCGATGTAGAAAGAGCGAGAACGGCAGGATAAAGTTACGCGTCGTATTTATAAGACTCGCTTGCAAGAATAGAAAGATCGAATCCGAATCCACAGCCGCTATCGGCTCTCTCTCTCTCTCTCTCTGTTTTCGAAACGAAGCGAAAAAGAAAAAAAGAAAAGCAGAAGCAAAAAAACGATCGAACACGACCGGCGGGATTTCCATCTCGATGGTTTCGCAATCACGTATCGAATTAAATGACGATTATATCGCTATTTCATAATAAATGGGTCAAAAACATTATCTCACAGGGTAGGCATCGCGATTTCTCTCTCGAAATAGACGAAGGACCCTAGGCCGGCAAAAATAACGTGTACTCCGTCTGCTACGAAACTTTTCACCGTCACGATCGATGCTTGTCAATTTTCGATCAGGTTCTTGTTGATTTCCGTTTCCTTTCGGGTAAAAGTATAAAAATACTGACGAAAGAATAAAATCTTAATGGGCAAATTTGTACCTATACTTGGGCCAAACGTTTCTTCTCATCTATTTTGTTTTTTAATAAAAACATCAAGTATTAAGAAAAAGCTAATTTTACTAATGTAAGATCAAATATGATATTTTTCCATTACTTCTTTCAAATGTTCATTGCCAGAGCAAATAATATAAAAATTACAGATTTATTTTAGTAGAAAGTGATTTTCGGTTCACCCTATACATACGTAAAAATTATCATTAATCGTTCGTACCTATGTAACTTTAGAGATGGAAGTGGCTGTTTTTACGTCATTTTACGTAAAATGTCCCCGAACTAAATTTGGCCAATCGGGTTGTTTCGAAAATTGTTTATCGTTCGATTCGCGGTAACGACGCCACTTGAAACTTGAACTCTGACAATAAGAAAACCTTCCAGATTTCATTGGCAAGGTACCTCGTAAAAGATAACAAAGATATTTCGGTGTTTAGACATACTCAAACTACATTTAGTCCGGCACTCAAATGTTTTTAACAATGACGATAATCCTACGTTCTCCTACGTGTCGCTTTGACACGTTCCCCCTCTTTATTTGCAATAACCATTTTGAACGAAGTTGAAATAATTTTTTAACGAAGCAGCAACCGTTTGAGAAATCAAGAGAGGAATACAAGCTGTAGGAGTGTCGTTGCATGACCCTCTTGTGTTTGAGTAACCCAGATCTCATTTACGAAAATAGATTAAGATACCAATGAGTCCGTAACGTGCTTGCACGCGTTTTATTGCATCGTGTTATTAATCAGTCATAGCCGTGTAACGTGACACTCCTATTCCGTAGAACCGAATCGTCCCTCTTTTTGTTTTTAGAGCCATTTCACGGCAAGCCTCGCGAAAACTTTGTTTCTTTGTCTCTTTTTCAATGTCACTGGGATAGTATCAAGACCTAGCCCTACTTTTAACGGAGGGTGTCAAGGTTGACGCACGACAAACGTAATTCAGCATTTAGATCATTTCATGGTTACTTTCTAACTTTGATGGAACTTGTCTGTTATGGTTAGTAGCTTTCTCGATTGTTGTTAAAAGTATCCATTTTCAATCAAACGTATCGACGTGTTCGTACACGAGAACGAAAACCAATGAAAACGGACGAAACGAAGGGAGAATGTTTGCATAGAGAACAATACAGTTCTCGTTCGTTTCTCAACGTTCTCTAATTTCGCCCTAAACGATCGTACGGTATTTTAGTTTATCAGCTAAAAGTGTCAAAGGGATGAACCTTAGAAATTCTTCCTTGCGAATTGAAATTGCCCCTTGTCCGACGAGTATCGACAATTCAAAAGATTCGGGAAATCGTACTGTGACAAGGAATAATAATAACGGCAATATATACGTGGTGACATACGTGATCGTTAAGTATCGATTAATCAAATACTCCCGTCTCGATGAATTACCGATACTCGAGCACGTTTCCTTTTATTTTCTAATTGGCTGTAATCGTACCCAAAACACGGCAGCCTCTTCCTCTTTCGGCTGGTGTTCGATGCTGTGACGATAAACGGTCGTGTAAGCCGGCATCGTTTCCTAATCAAAAACGAAGTTCGTACCCGTGCAAGTGCTGTGACACTTTTAATCGAGGATGTTCGTTTTCTTTTCCCCCTTTCCTCTCGTTCTCACCGAGAAGTTCTTTACTTCACTTTTTTCCCTTACGAAGCGGCTGGTCTGCCTCTCGGTTCTTACGAATATTCGCTAACGCACTGTCTCGTTGCGCGGGCGGCACTACTCTAACTCTGGGTCTTTTCCACGCGACTCCACTCGCGCTCTTTCTTCTCCTCTCCACGTAATACCGACGTGTCTCGATCGTTCTCCTATGTTTTCACTATTTTCATCGGAAATCTTCTTCCTTATTGTCGCCGCGCAACAGCTCTTCTCGTTGCACTTTCTTTCGAATATAAAAAAAAAAAAAAAAAAAAGAAAAAATGTATATATCGCTTATCGAGAGACGATTCTTTCAATCGAACGAATTACAGTTCGCGATTCCACGATTAATTTCTATTTCCACTGCTGTTTGCACGTATTTTTGATCGATTGTGTCACATTTGGATTCGAACCAAATCCTGAAAAAGCTAGTGAATATTCTTAATGGCCTGAGAATGTGAACTATTCTTGAAGCACGTCATTATCTCATTCGTTTTTTTTTTTTCTTTTTTCTTTATAGCTTTGGATAATTGTTACACGTGTCCTCTAATTAGGCGACTAGTTTGACGATCGATGTACCTTCCGACCTTGGACTAATACCGCCGACCCGAAACATCATGGAAATTTCTCTTCAGTCGCAGTGTTCCTTCTAACTCTCAATTACTTAACTGTATAGGTACGATACAAATTTCAAGTTCCGCTGTTTCTTTTTTCTTTTTTCTTTTTTTTTTTTTTTAAGTCATAGAACTTTAATGCTCGTTTATTTCACAAAATAATGGAGAAGGTACAGCGATTGAAATCTGAAATTTCTCCAAGTCGACGCTCGCGATCGTCGCGATCAGCGGCAGGACAATAAGAATAAGACGCATTTTCAAGCGGAGACCAGAGTCGAAATAGCGTTCCGAATCGTCCTGGATCGCGTAGTATTGGATCGGAGAAGTAGTTTCGATGCAAAAGCGATATTTATAGCGTGTGGCGACTGCCTCTGCGTGGACTTTCCGGCATCGTGGCGGGCCAACAAAAATATATTCACGCTTCGAACGTCTCTCACGGGTAAAGGCGCCTTTGTGTGTTGCCACGAAACTACATACATACATATATGCATGCCCTACGGCTTTTTTCGAATCGTCTCCGATCACGATTCCATCTAACGAACGTTGATAGTAATTACGAAGTTCTCGTAGAAATGACATGGCATAACTAACCTAAAAGTGTATATATGTATATATGTATGTAGATGCATGTGACTGTTTAGCCAAGAAATCAGAGCGACACGTGGAGGAGACTAAAATACTCTTACCGATTTTCACCGATCGTTTATGGATAGTAAATAATATTCCCTTGATGAATTGGCGTTCTGCAGTTTGCCAATTTTGAAAACGGAACGCGGAAACGGCGAGTTAAGTTTGATAGATGTTCTGTCAGTCTGTCATCTCCTCTCAGTGATTCAATTATGAGTTACTGAATTTCAACAGTGTTTGAATTAGTTCGAAACGGCATGTAATTTGCCAAGTGCAATCTATAACTCCAACGATTTGTATAACAAGTATCCATGTAATATAAATTTGTAACCAGAAAAACGAAATTTGGTGGAACACACGGAAGGCTATCTCTTCCTGACAACTGTCTAATTGGTAGTTGCTTTGTCGAATTCAACTGGCAACAGAGAGGAGACGATTAGAGACGGCGTTTGTAGAGGTGTGAAAGAGAATTGTTATAAATACATTTCAACGATCGTGGACACGCGCCACTCGCCTTTCGATTCGTGTTCGAATTTGTTGTATTTACGGGCCAATGAACTCGCCTGGAAATTTAAACTAACCAGACGGCGCTTACGTTTTTCAGAAGGGAGAAAGCGAGTTCCTTTTTCCCTTAAAAAAAAAAAAAAAAAAGAAAAAAATCGACGCTGCGATTGAACTGTGCTGCACCCAGTTTTCACGCTAGCCGATTTCACGTCGTGGATTTTCAATCGTTTGTTTAAAATACGCTAGCTAAAATTAATCGCCGGTGAAACAGAAGCGAGCAAGCAAGTACTTACACTTTTCCTTCGATCGTCGTTGCGAACATTCATCATGATTGGACTTCATCAGATGTGAATCTGAATGCGGTGCAGTTTGCTCGCTCCTGCGTGTGTGAGTTGGTGTTGTCAAAGTATGTACGTGTCTATTCAAAGTACCTGCGACAAATAGGCTCTCTCTTCGCGAACCTCGTCGAGATGCTCGTGCGGCAAGCTAGGGCATTCCGGTGACGATGTAGGCTGACTGTACTCGTCGACTAACGGCGGTGGTACGGGGCTCTTGGGCAATGCCGACGGTACTTTCGGCTGTTTGGCTCTATAGCGGGATGGGAAAGTATCTTAACTAACGAATCAGTGTGAAAAAGAAAATCCTCTCACGAGAGCCTCGATAATGATAATTTCGACCATCACTTTCAGCCATACACGCCGAACTTAAATAAATAAATTTCACATATATAAAATAAATAAATTTCATAATCGAGGCCTAATGACAAATTTCGTTTCAGTGTCGCATGGCAAGCGCAGCGCAGCAGCAACGTTAGAGTTCAACATTAGAAACTTCAATAGCGGATCAAAGCGTGCTACTTCGTCTTTTGCGTCGAGTTCGAAGATATTCCAAAGAACAGTTTCTACCGGTGGAGCAGTGTGAAGAGAGAAAGTGATCGTCGAGTTTAACGATGATGTTTCTTGATACGATGGAGCTATCAATCAGGCGCTGCGATTGAAGTATGCGAGAAGAAAAGAAAAGAAGAAAAAAAAGAAAAGAAAAAAGAAGAGAGAGAGAGAGAGAGAGAGAAGTAGGGAGAGGTTTAATACGAAGCGTTAATAGTCAAGTTACGTAGCGATAGTAGCGTGCCGATAGTGATGCGATAAATCGAGCGCATAATAACAAAGGTGGAATTGCTTTCTGACAGACTAGTGACCGCAGCCCTGCCGCCAGTGTTCAACTGGATAATCGGAGATGACGTGGTAATGTTGGTACGAGATGCGTTCGACGGCTCAGACCTTTCGACCACGAGCCTTATTGATTCAGAGTTTTGAAGAAGATTCTGGGCGTCTACATGCCTCACATCTCGCGCGTCGTAATCGTCGATTTTCTTGATCACGTCACCCCTCTGGAGCGTCTCGTTCTCCGACTGCAAGCAATAAATAATTCTATCGTAAAGTAGCCACTCGTTGCTGATGCGTCCAAGCTTTAGGTATTATTATTGTTAGTTAACTAACGTGCAGCATATCAATATCTGAAATTGCGTTGGCTCGACTCTCAACAGGCATGATGTTAAGTGTTGTAAAGCTGCGTAAGCTGAATAAGTTAATGAGGAGAATGTTGGAAACGAATCTCAGGAACAGAAACACTGTGTGAGTGTCAGCTTTTGTATTCTGACTTTTTGGTTAATATATCAGTGTATATATTGTACAATTACAATATACCAATAAAATATACTAATTAAATGCAATATTAATGTATAGTATGAAATTAAATATAGTTAGACGATAAGCACTTGGATAATAGCCTGCTCTATTTAATAATCATGTTAAATGGAATATTATTGAAATGATCGTTGGGACGATGGACGAGATTAGATTAGATTAGATCATATTGCGTCGGCTAGACATGATTATGATTTAACATGTGTATACGTATATAGGTATATTTAAAAGCGTGACAGTGTCAGACGATGGTCAGTTGCTTCGCGAATAAAGCGGAAATCCGTTTGCAATAAATAATACTTTACTAAAGTCACATGTATCTTTTTAAAGTAGACGTTGCTACACGTAAGCAGTAGAAGCTTGCGCGTACTAGAAAATAATTCACCTAGCTTTCCGTTATACTAGACAAAGCAACAATTACACGAGCTGTGTACGTCCAATGGCAGCAGATCGCTAGAGGCAAAGTTGCTTAGCACGAGTGAGATGAAAAAAGAAGAAGAAGAACTCACGCGAGTGACGACGATCGGTGTGCCCAAATCAGCACCTCCAGCGATACGTATCCCCCAAGGTCTGCCGGTGCTGGATCTCTTAAGCTTCACGATCACCGTTTGTTTCCTCGTCATGTTCTACTCCGTCTATCCGGAACAACGCAGTCGCGTATTTATAACGGACACAGGTCGCAGGTGTACCGATCCGTTTGGTCGAGAATTGAGAGCAAGACGATAACGAAAAAGAAAAGGAAAAGAAAAGAAAAAAAGAAGAGACAAAGAGTCCCTCCGAGGATGAAGGAGAAAACTGACAGAACTGTGCGAGATCGTTGGGAGAGATGGAAACGATACGAATGTACGGCTTGCGACCCGGGGCGCAATATCGGATCCCGTACGCTCCTTACTGGCAAACGAGGACTACTGGCTGCACCGCCACTCTTGATTTTGACAAGCTTTACTTTTGTGCGAGCTTAGTTACCCAACTATCGGCCCGCCGCTTCTGCTATTCTGGCCCCATTTCGAATTGGCATACCGTGTGTATTGTTCTGGTTCGACCTGCACTCATTTCTCTGGCATTTGCGGTCTCCCTACCTTTCCTATGCCTACCGATAAGATTAACGACAGTCTACGAAACTAAATATCACAGAGATTACCGATTCTTGCAGTTTTTTTTTTTTTTTTTTTTCACTCTTCCAGAGTAGTCTTGCCTTTCTAAAGTTTTTCATTGAACGACGAGTAAATTGTCAATGTGATTAAAGATGCTTCAATTATTATACGTGACACGTTCATCGAGGAGTCAAGAAACTGTCGTCGGATGTTGAATGAATGCACAGAATTAAACATACACTGCACGTAAGTTGTTTATTAACGCACAAATTACAGTGGGTTCTTCTCTTCAAAGTTACGGAGGAAACATATGCCCGTAGGTTAACACAATATCATCTTGAGAAAAGTGCATTGAATTGAAAAGAAAAGAAGTGTAGGGTGAAGTCCATCACCGTGAATTACAGAGAGGCATGAAATGAAGAGAAATTTAGGATTTGATCGGGCCATCACATACTCACATAGGTTTCGTAAAAGTTGCTTATCGAAAACTTAAGGGACATCTTCGATCGTCAATCTTTCGAAATTTTCAACCAGCAGCTTTCCTCTCTCTTGAACGACGTCCGGCGAATGCCACTCGGAAGCACCTCTTCCCAATAGCAGTTTCGATCTAATTACTTTGACCGCACTGTGATTAATGAGACTACATTAGGAGTGTAAGAGAAATAGTAAACGAGAGTACACAAAATAAACCGAGAGGAAGAGATTCTACGTAAGTTTGACTTAAATTAGCAACCTATAGCGCGAAAGGTTAGTCAATCGTGGTTTTAAGAATGTGCCGTTCTAGTGACTCATTTATCTCGATTTACACGATCCGAAGAAAGTGCGTGGATGAAGAATCGAATCGTACTCTCGCAGAGTACATCAGCATCATGCTAAGTATATTAGCTTGTCCGTCACTCGTTAATGAACGTCGTTACGAGTACGTAATTCCACTGTTGATCTACATAAAAGATAAAGCAATTTACAATTGGATGAGAATTCATTGAACTACAAGATATTATACAAATTTAATATACATACGTAAACATTATTTTGTATACAATTTTTTCGAGATATTCGAAGGAATGTAACATCTTTGTTTATGAGTATTCTTCGCTAATGGCTCTGCTAATTACCATTCGGCGAATTTCACTGGTACCAGCACCAATTTCGTATAATTTAGCGTCTCTTAAAAATCTCCCAGTAGGATAATCATTTATATAACCATTCCCACCTAAAAGAGTTGCATGCATTTGAAGAAACATTCAGAACTGATAAATTCTGATCAAGAATTAAAATTATAGGCAATGTTACCAAGTATCTGAATTGCATCCAACGCAGCTTTGGTAGCGCACTCGCCTAGGTAAAGTATTACTGCGGCACAATCTTTTCGACTTACGTGTCCTGCGTCGCAAGACCTAGTTATTGAATACAAGTAACTTCTACAAACGTTTAAACTTGTATACATATTTGCTATTTTCTCCTAAAACATTAGTTTACATCTTTAGATATAAATACTTTGAGAAATAAAATGATATTCAAGTATAGGAATTGAAAAAGAAAGAGAAACCAATTTTATACTTGTATCATCTGGAACTCTGCTATTCGTTTTCCAAATTGTGTCCTAGTGTGTGCGTAATCAAATGCCACGTCGCAACAGGCCTGAATGAGTCTAACATGCGATACATTAAAACACGATAGAACTGTAATATATTATTTTCATTTGAAAAGTAGAAGCTCTTACCCCAAAGGACCCGCTGACAGTGTCAATCGTTCTAAATCTAGACCACTGAATAGCACGTAAACGCCTTTGTTCACTTGTCCAAGTATGTTTGCCACTGCAATTGTTAATTAAGTCGTGAATAGAAGTGATCGGTTAAAGCTATACGAAAGAAGAAATTTGAAGTACCAGGAACTTTGCAATCTTCAAATACAAGTTCACCAGTGTTGGAACCTCGCATGCCTAGTTTATCCAATTTCTGAGCGATACTGAAACCTTCGAAATCTCTTTCTACGATAAACGCCGTGATACCGTGTTGTGGTTTAGCCGCGTTTGGATCCGTTTTCGCATAAACAATAAGAGTATCAGCATCGGGGCCATTTGTGATCCAAAATTTGTGACCGTTTAAAATATAATAATCGCCCCTTTTTTCGGCTCGCAGTCTCATAGAAAGCACGTCAGATCCAGATGTCGACTCTGACATTGCAAGCGCCCCGATATGCTCTCCATTGCACAACTGCAAGTGATGTATAATAAATATAAAATAAATATAATAAATACAAAATATAAATATATGTCCAGTAGTAAATAAATATGAAATATAAAGTATAAATGTCTAATAATAAATAAATAAAAGTAAATATAGAATATTTAGTAATAAATAAATAAAAAGTAAATATAGAATATTTAATAATAAATAAATAAAAGTAAATATAGAATATTTAATAATAAATAAATAAAAGTAAATATAGAATATTTAATAATAAAGAAATAAAAGTAAATATAGAATATTTAATAATAAAGAAATAAAAGTAAATATAGAATATTTAATAATAAATAAATAAAAGTAAATATAGATTCAAGGGCATTACCTTTGGCAGATATTTGTACTTTTGTTCTTCAGTTCCATTCCTGTGAATTTGATTGATGCACAAATTTGAATGGACACCGTAGCTGAGACCTATAGCTGCTGACGCTCTGCTTAATTCTTCTATGACGATAACGTTATCTAAATACGTACCACCTGTGCCACCGTATTCGGATTTCGCGGTTATTCCTAACAAACCTAGGTTGCCTAGGTCTTTCCAAAATTTCTGAAAATTAATTTTTAAATACTGATACGATAAATTCTAAATGACTGATAAAATTTAAATGCTAAAATATTTCGTGCTTTCTTCAAAAACACTTAACAGTTTTTTTTTTTTTTTACTTACTCGGAGTTCGTCAAAATTATTTTTTTTATCTATCTCGGCTGCTTTTGGAGCAAGCTCTTTTTGCGCAAAATTAAATATTAATTGTCGAAGCTGTAAAAAAAAAAATACAGTTTTTCCTTTGTTAATATTGATCAAGTTCGATAAATTATGTTAATAAAAAAAAATTGAGTCTCAATCATATCTCGATTGTCAGAGAAATTATTCGTTTCAAATATCAGCTCAGTAAGTCTTGACAATGTATGATAGTATGTATGATGTAATTAAATTGAAATTTTACTAACCTCTTTTTGTTGTTCGTTTAATCCGAAAATATTGTCGTCTATTTTATAATATTTCGAAGAATATCGCACATTAAATTTATTGTTTAGTTTCAAGAGTTTCCACGAGAAAAATCTCGTAAATTTATTGGTACAAAATTCCATGTTCCTAGAATTATTTTATATATTCCAAAATTGTATATGTTTTGTATACGATACAAAAACGCAGTTTCAGTGACGCATCTAGGATAATTATCTTACATTTAATCAGAAACATTACGAAATATGTGCATAGGAGTGACTATAAATAAAGCTAAATATTTGGCATATTTCCATTTAAATATTTCATATTATAAATTTCATATTATAATATTAAGAAAATATTTAGGTAAATTTGTTGATAATCTATCAACAGAACATTTTATATATATCCTAATATATGCATTTGAAACAGAATAATATACAATACCACGTGGTACGTATTGTGTATTTGTGTATAGTTATACTAAGCGTGTTGGTGCATGGTTTGTGCGTACCTAAATGCTAGTCATATTCTTTTTCATATTATAATATATCCCTTTTTTTATTTATACAATTATTTCATTTATTTCATTTTTTCCAATTAAAGGTTTTTACAGATTTATAAATATTGTACTGTATATTCAACGTTACGACGAAAATGTTTCGTTAAAGTATAGGTTAGAAAAAGGGTATTAGCGACTTATATCATATTTTGAACGATCTATTTCAACTTTTATGTTATAATTTCCATAAATAAAAAGATGGGGGAAATGAAAGTTAATATTAAATCGGAAGCAAAATATAATAAAGTGATAAAACACATCCAGGTATGAATGATGTTAACCTATGATTTATTCAACAAAATTTACTACAAATAATTATTTGCAATATCACATTTTTACAGGACAAGTGGAAACTTGTACCCGCTTTTCTTAAGGGGAGAGGCTTAGTTAAGCAACATATTGACTCATTTAATTACTTTATAAACGTGGAAATCAAAAAAATTGTAAAGGCAAATGAGAAAGTGCTTAGTGATGCTGATCCTTTATTTTATATAAAGTAAGCGATTGTTTCGCACATTAATTCATTGATTTATTGCACCGTTAATTATGTCACATTTTTTTGGTAGATATTTGAACATTCATGTTGGCATACCAGATGTTGAGGAAGGTTTTAATGTAACACGTTCTGTTACTCCACATGAATGTCGTTTAAGAGACTTAAATTATTCTGCTCCAATTACAGTTGATATTGAATATATAAGAGGTCACCAACCAATAATCAAAAATAATTTATTGATTGGCAGGTATAAAACTTTTAATAAAATACTTTTCAAATATCAACAATTTCACACTTGTAATATGAACTCAATTGACTGTTGTCTTTTTTTTTCTTAGAATGCCTATTATGTTAAGAAGTTCAAACTGCGTATTAACTGGCAAGTCGCATTTTGAATTGGCAAAAATGAATGAATGTCCTCATGATCCTGGCGGTTATTTTATAGTGAACGGCCAAGAAAAAGTAATTCTGATACAAGAACAAATGCTTAGAAATAGAATTATTCTAGAGGATGATAGTAAAGGATGTATTGTGGCATCTTGTAATAGCTCTACTCATGAAAGGAAAACCAAAACTAATATTGTAGGAAAAGGTGGAAAGTATTACATGAGACACAACATTTTTGTTGATGTAAGTGTACGTTGCAACTGTATATATTAAAACGTGAAAGATATTTAATGTTATGTAATTACATTATTATATGTATGTAGGACATACCGGTGACAATAATATTTAAAGCAATGGGAATTGTTAGTGATCAAGAAATTATGCAACTTATTGGCACAGAAGAAGAATTTATGAAAAAGTTTGCGCCCAGTTTAGAAGAATGCCATACTTTGAATATATTTGCTCAAAATCAAGCATTAAGGTATGTTAGAGTAGTATTAGGTGTATTAATGAATATTGATTTCAAGTACTGTTTTAGGTTTCTTAGCAGTAAAAGAAAACAGAAAAGATATTCAATCCTAAAATCTAGCATTACAGATGAAATGAAGGATATATTGGCAACTAATATTTTGTCTCATGTTCCTGTAGGTAATTTGGAAATTATAATTGTAATAAAATACTATAAGCGGTATTGCTTTATATCTAATATAATGTTACAGGTCGTAGACTTTAATTTTAAAATGAAAGCCACTTACACTGCTTTAATGGTTCGCAAAGTTATGAAAGCACAATCTGATGAGAACCTTGTAGATGATAGAGATTACTACGGTAACAAACGATTGGAATTGGCTGGTTCTTTGTTGTCCTTAATGTTTGAAGATTTATTTAAAAGATTTAATTGGGAGGTATATAACGTGCGATAATATTAAATAAAAATCATAATTAAATTTATGATTTTTGATATTATTTTATTTATTGTAATATTTAACATTTTCAGTTAAAGCAAATAGCTGATAAAAACATACCAAAAATTAAAGCTGCACAATTTGATATTGTAAAACATATGAGACAGGATCAAATTACTAATGGATTGGCATTTGCTATATCATCTGTGAGTAAATAAGTATATAGATATCTAAGAAACATTTGAGATTACATAAAAATTATATTATATTAAACAGGGCAATTGGACGATTAAACGATTTAAAATGGAACGGCACGGGGTTACTCAAGTTTTATCCAGACTTTCTTATATTTCGGCACTCGGTATGATGACACGAGTTAATTCACAATTTGAAAAAACTAGGAAAGTATCTGGGCCTCGATCTTTGCAACCATCGCAATGGGGAATGTTGTGTCCTAGCGATACTCCTGAAGGAGAAGTTAGTATTGTTTCTTCATGTTTGCCTCAATTATTACTCATGGCATTTGAAATTATTTATACAAGTCTTTTTGTAGGGTTGTGGTTTAGTTAAAAATTTAGCTCTTATGACTCATATTACCACAGAAATTGATGAAGAACCAATCGTTAGATTGGCTTTCAACTTGGGAGTTGAAAACGTTAATATACTTGGTGGAGAGGAAATAAATAATAAAAATGTTTACATGGTGTTTATAAATGGTAATATCCTGGGTATAATCAGAAATTATCAGAGACTTGTAAAAATCTTTAGGTCATTACGAAGGAGAGGTCTGATAAATGGCTTTGTCTCTATATATACACAACATCAACATAGGTAACATTGATTTAGAAATTACATTACGCATAACATTACAATTTTATGTAATTGTTATAATGTTCATAGATGCGTTCAAATTAGTTCTGACGGAGGACGATTATGTAGACCATACATTATTGTAGAGAATGGTAACCCATGTCTACAAGAGGAGCATATAAAACTGCTTGAACAAGGAGTACGAAGCTTTGAAGATTTTTTACAAGATGGTTAGCAGAAAATATAAATAACAAAATCCTATTTTGCTTTTAACAATACCACGATATTTTTAGGTTTGCTCGAGTATTTGGATGTGAATGAAGAAAATGACAGTTCCATTGCATTCAATGAATCGCATATTAATGAAAAAACGACGCATTTAGAAATTGAGCCGTTTACGTTACTCGGAGTTTGTGCTGGTCTAGTACCGTATCCACATCATAACCAAAGTCCAAGAAATACCTACCAATGTGCTATGGGAAAGCAAGCAATGGGAACTATTGGTTACAATCAGCGCAATCGTATCGATACATTAATGTACAATTTGGTTTACCCTCAAACGCCTATGGTTAAATCCCGAACGATAGAACTGATAAACTTTGATAAACTACCTGCTGGTCAAAATGCAATAGTAGCCGTCATGTCTTATAGTGGTTACGATATTGAAGATGCTCTTATCTTAAACAAGGCTTCAATTGACAGAGGATATGGAAGGTGTTTGGTATATAGAAATGCAAAATGCACGTTAAAGAGGTACGCAAATCAGACGTATGATCGAATAATGGGCCCATTGCTTGATTCTGTTACGAAGAAACCTGTTCCGAAACATGACGTAATCGACAGTGATGGAATTGCTGCACCCGGAGAAATGTTGGAGAATAGAAAGGTTCATTTTTAAATTCACTAGCAATGGCTGAATTACATGCGATTATATAATCGACAAGTTTTTTTCCCTCTTTTTTTATAGGTAATGGTAAATAAATCATCACCGGCCGCAAATATAGGGCCAGTGAATGCCGGTAATGTTCAAACGCAGACGGAATACAAAGATGTTCCAGTAGTTTACAAAGGACCTGTTCCTGCTTATGTTGAAAAGGTTATGATTTCCAGCAACGCAGAAGACGCGTTTTTAATTAAATTGTTGTTACGACAGACTCGGAGGCCTGAGATAGGTGACAAATTTAGTAGTCGGCATGGACAGAAAGGTGTAACTGGTATGTACTTATATATTTTATCATTCAATTTTGTAGATACATTGGTATAAACTGTTGATCTTTATACACAGGATTGATCGTGGAACAAGAAGATATGCCGTTTAATGATCATGGAATATGTCCCGATATGATTATGAATCCACATGGTTTTCCTTCACGTATGACCGTTGGAAAATTAATGGAATTACTTTCTGGTAAAGCTGGTGTTATAAAAGGAGAATATCATTATGGCACAGGTGCAGCAATTATATTTTGTTTTGATCATTTTTTTAAAACAATAATTTACTTCTAACAATTCTTATTTTTTGTTTAGCATTTGGCGGTTCAAAAGTTGAAGATGTTTCTCAAGAACTGGTAAAGCACGGTTATAATTATCTGGGCAAAGACTTCTTCTATTCCGGCATTACAGGAGAGCCATTACAGGCGTATATTTATTCTGGACCGGTAAGTTAACGTCTTAACTTTGGATCTTAAATTAACGTTAATCATATACATTGTTGTAAAAATATAATTTGAAATGCAGGTATATTATCAAAAATTGAAACATATGGTGCAAGATAAAATGCACGCCCGTGCTCGAGGACCGAGGGCTGTGTTAACTCGTCAACCAACGGAAGGTCGGGCTAAAGAAGGTGGTTTAAGATTAGGTGAAATGGAACGGGACTGTCTAATCGGATATGGTGCTAGTATGATGTTGATAGAAAGGCTCATGATATCGAGTGATGCATTCGATGTTGATGTATGTAACAAATGTGGTTTGATGGCATATAGCGGTTGGTGTCATAGTTGTCGTTCTAGTTCATGTGTTTCTACGATTTCTATGCCATATGCCTGTAAACTACTGTTCCAAGAACTTCAGTCAATGAACATTGTACCTCGTTTAACATTAAAGAATTATTGCGAGTAATTCGAAGCAAGTTTATTCATTATATAAATTTGTATATAGTATTTTGTGTGCGTATAAGTATTTATTAATTTCTTTGACTGATTCATAAAAAGTATTTTTCATTTCATAAGCTTTCGTAAGTTAATAAATAGTAAACTAAGTAATTTTTTGATATTGGAAGACATTAAAATATTGATTGTATTGTAAGTTAATAGAAAGTGTTAAGGGAGAGATACGTATAATCTCTCGTCGGTAGAAATTCGGAGACACTCGTCTCGAGTACATCGAAAACCTCGAGATTTCCTCAGTACGCAGTAGAACACGTCGACTTCGGTAAATCGACCACATTGTCGTGGGTGGTTCTTCGGGCGTAAGGAGTTCAATCGCGAAACGATCGTAGTTAACTCAAGTTCAGGCACACACGAGTGCGATATTCAAGTCTAGCGCGAGACAATTTGATCGAGGACATTTGGTCCTTCGAGCCGGATCAGTAACGTTAGATTTAACAGAAAGTTTAATATATATATGTACAACATATTGATATATATTAATGAACCATTTAATTTGCTGATGTAAGCGGTTCAGCAAACAAGCAAATTTCTGGATTTTCAATGCAGTTCTTGCTTTGTATTAAACGCAGTTCAATTCTTCTTGCAAGTTGAGATTCTTTATCTTGACATGCTAGTAAGAATTTTTAAAAATGTTATCATTTTTCATATCTTTATGTAAAGAAATGACAAAGAACAAACAAGTACCTTTGGAATATTCATAAGTCTTTAGCAGGACTCTGTATAAAGAATTTATAGTTTTTTCAATGGCAGCTTTTATATTGTCTTGTAAATACGTGTGAGCTAAGAATAAAGCAGCAAACAGATCTCCAGAACCTGTGAAGTTTGCTGGTATCTTTGGAATGTCAATTTTTATCAACTTATTGTCTGAAATTAAAGTAAATTTTATATGAAGTGAATTTTATTGAAGTGATTTATTTAATTCAAATAAAATTACCTTTACTTGTACTGACTATGGCTGTTAGTTTGTCATTCATCTCTGTTGATGAAACAGCCACAGTTTGGGGACCAATTTTATGCAATTCTTTCAAAGCATTTTGTAATTCAGACATTGTATTAATCTTTGTGTTGCTTAATAATCTGTAATAACATATCAATGTGATGTATTACATGATCAACTTATATTTGGGTTTATAAATACATTACTTACTCCAATTCAAACTGGTTCGGTACTACAATGTCAGCCAGTGGTACTATTTCTTTTCTATAAATTTCTTTTAACGCTTCAGGAACGTACATTTTTCCATTGTCTCCCATAACTGGATCGCACACTGATATTGAAAAAAGATTTTCACGGTTTTATAACAAGCGAAATAATATTTTCAACAGAGTGTAAGAGATCAGTTAAATATACTGAATTAATTACCATATATGAGACTTGGGTTTTTCTGTTTCAACGTGCGGATCACTTCTGTTATTTTTTTTAAAAACGAAGCAGAACCAACGTATCCGGTAATCAGATGCGTGTAATTATTCAAATTGTTCTCTACTAAACCATTTATCAATTCCTCTACAAAGTAATTGTGGATGAACACAGACTGTTCTCTATCAGTTAGGTTTTTTCTTTAAAAGAATTTTCATTTTACCTAAATCCTTGTCATTTAGCACCTGACCTTTGAAGACTTTGTAGCCAGTGTGATTGGAAAGTTGAACGGAATTAATTGCATCTACTTCGAAACCCAACAACTAAATAAAGCAGATTACGATTTTTATATTTCTTATTTCTTGTATGTGCGCCATGGCGGATATATTTTCTAAAACTCGATTGTAATTGTCGAGAGGAACGTGCAGGTGAACACGTGAAAACCATTTTCAAGGTACGACAAGGCTGCCTAACTGATGGATGATGGAAAGACCGTGGCGAATTTTTGCTGATGAGTTTCGCAATGAAAAAAAGGAAAAAAAAAAAAAAGAACACGCCTTTACCTGCAAAGGAAATACTGCACTTTTATTACCAACGTAACCGGACACTACGTGACTCTGTATCGAAAGAATTCGTGGTGCTTTTTCAACCGACATGCTGATTTTACCGATATCTTAGACTTCGTAGAATGTATTGGAAGTAATTACGCAGATCCGTATGATATTCTGTGCGTTATCGTACTGGATTGATTTAGGCATTGCTTGTCATCACCACCATTTCGTTTCTATTGGTTGTATTGAATTTCTTATCAACGTTGTGCTCGTGTCACGACATTAAATTATTTCTTTATTACATTTATCTCGCAGTTTTTGCCTAACGTAAGATACGCGCATGGAATAGACTTGGTATATCGGATACATTATTATTGGAAGTTTGTTACGGCTGCATTTTACAAATCAAATGACATAGAAGATGAAAAAGAAAGTTTAGAAAAATTTAGGGCTACGACAATATCTGACTGCAGAAGTTTGCGAATCAATCATCCTAATTAATTTTTTTTTTTTTTTTTTGTAAATTTACTCGATTTATGGGTATTGAAACGCTAGCGCCGCGTAGCGATGAGTCAGTGGAATTAAAATAGATCACTGTCCTTGTCGCACAGTAGTGCGATCCTCGTCTATCGCATTACAAAAGTTTGTCTTTGTTGTACGCTAATGTGCGCTTTTGTCTGTCACACTCTTGTGTGCTTATTAGCGAGACAGGTGCCGCTTTATCTGTTGGGTTGGATTTTTCGTACTTTCAGTATCAGTCTAGGCTAAGAGAGATGGTCGCACTAGCATCACAGATAAGGCGCGCCCAACCAGTGTGCCACAAAGAGACAGATTTATGCAGCCTATAGACAAGAACTACACGAACGTGCAACTAGGACAGACTCTTATATGAGATGTGATAAACAAGGAAAGCACTACTGTGCGATAAAGACAGTGATAGACTTTAGGTTTCATCAACTCACCGCTGCGCGATGCTAGCGTTTCAATGCCTGAAGGGATTGAGTTGATATTTGATGTTAGGATGGATGTGTTTAGGAAAGGAAGAATGAGGTAAAGATATGAAGTATTAATATATAGAAGGTGGAGTTGCATTTCGTCTCGAGATCGCTTATAGACTTTTTTATCCAGTGGGGCCGATGGCGGCGACACGACTTCTGTCTCAGAAGGCTTATTTGTTATGAACCACTTAGGAACGGTCACCCATCCTAGCGGTGTTCCGCACGCTGTATGCTTAACATCGGTGATCGCCTCGATTCGTCGTTAAGCGCACATCCACTTGCGGCTTGTGGTATTTAAGTGTTCGGAACTTGTAGTAATGGATGCGTAGGCCGCTACATGTCCATCAGTCGAGCAAATTTACATTTGCAAAAAATATTAATTGAGAGGATTAATTTATGAACTGTTGCATTTCTATCTTTGTTTTGTTTTTAAACTCTATGCTTTCTTCCTGTGTTCTAGTTAGCTCCTAAAATGCAAAAATAACGTGTCTAAGTACAGTGAATTTACAGATATTAACTATCTTATGGTTAACTAAAACCAAATTCACACAACTTAAAGCTAAGACGCACGCATCCCTCGTCGTCCATCGGTGGCCCGCTGGGGGCCCAATAGTTTACTTATCAACTAATTGTACCTACAGTTCAGTTTAGAACCGTGAAATAAAGAAAGGAAAGAAATATTCACGGCCTATAGAACCGAAGAACTATAGATTCTTAGCGTAGGTCTTAGCTTGATATCGTTTTACAAACATTAATGTTTGTAAAAAGATATCAATTACCAGGTCTCACCACGAGGAGGTGACTACGCACGAGACCCGCCCCGGGCCCTATTCCCAACCACTCTCCATTACATTCAAGCAACTCGGCATTGAACTTAATGAATACCGAGTGTTTTATACTACTTGGCCCGAGGTTACGTAAAATGGAGACAGACGTTCTCCATAGTTCAATCTCAAGCTTAAATGTAAATCTTAACTCTAATACGCAAGTATGAGATTGAACTATGGAACTCTGTCTCCCAAAAAATGATCGCGTTAACAATAAGTTCATATCCCTCACAATCATAGAAATACATACAATGCATAAAATAATACAATTATACATTACATACAATGCATACAATTCGTACAGTTCATACAATTCATACAGATCATACAATTCATAGAATTCATACAACTCATACAATTCATACAGATCATACAACTCATACAATTCATACTATGCACACAATTCATACAATGCACACAATGCACACAATACATAGAATCATACAATGCTCACAATAACTGTACAATAATTCGCAGCCCTACCAGCGCGTTTTGTATCAAAGACACGTTTATTAAACTTTGAACGAAATTAGGGAAACGAAACTATTGACACGCTTCAATATCGTGCCTTNGATCATACAACTCATACAATTCATACAGATCATACAACTCATACAGTTCATACAGATCATACAACTCATACAATTCATACATATCATACAATTCATACAATTCATACTATGCACACAATTCATACAATTCATACTATGCACACAATTCATACAATGCACACAATACATAGAATCATACAATGCTCACAATAACTGTACAATAACTCGCAGACCTACCAGCGCGTTTTGTATCAAACACACATTTATTAAGCTTTGAACGAAATAAGAGAAATAAAACTATTGACACGCTTCAATATCGTGCCTTGTAAGAGATATGACGCGAAATGAAAAATGAAAACCGCGATTTGTCAGTGTGTCAAATCGAGATTCGAGCATTTAGAGGCAACTAGTCTAATGCTACCCCCAACGACACAGTGGGGTTCCGAAGAACCGTTGAGCCGGATTACAAAGGACACTAGACTAAAAGGACCTACCTCGGACGAGGCTGCAGTCCCCCGATTTGACACACTGACAACGAAAGTTGGAAAATCTATTCTAGTGCAATGACAGTAACAAAAGTAACTCTACTGTAGTGCAAGAACAGTGACAAAGTAACTCTATTCTAGTGCAACGACAGTGACAAAAGTAACTCTACTGTAGTGCAATGACAGTAACAATAGTAACAACGGACGAAAGAAGAGAAGAGAGGAGGTATCCCTGATTTCGTCTCAAGTTAAATAAACGTGTCTTTGTACAAAATGCGCTCACAGTGAATTTACAAACATTAACTATCTTATAATTAACTAAAACTAAACGCACGCAACTTAATGCTAAGACGCTCGCATCCCACGATGTTCCTCGTCGTCCCAGATACTAACTATCTTATAATTAACTAAAACTAAACGCAAGAAAATTAAAATTAAATTTAAGTCTAAGACGCACGCATCCCACGATGTCCATGCGTGATTCCTAGTCGTCCATCAGTGGCCCGCTGGGGGCCCAATAGTTTACTTATCAACTAATTGTACCTACAGCTCAGTTTAGATCGTGAAATAAAGAATGGAAAGAAATTTTTACGATCCAAACTGAACTGTAGGTTGCGTAGTACTTAGCTTGATATCGTTTCACAAACATTAAAGCATATCGTTTTACAATTTAGCTTNTACAATTTAGCTTGATAACGTTTTACAAACTTTAATGTTTGTAAAACGATATCAATTACCAAGACCCACCACGTGGAGGTGACTATGCACGGGTCTCATTATAATGTATTGTAAATCAGTATTTGTTCCATATATTTCTCACACAGGTTTCAACTTATATTGAATTTAAGTAAAATGTTAGAAACAGAAATGGTATTCGTAAAATAAGGCATAATTGTTTGATCGATCTAATGACTAATTTAAGATAAGAAGAAATATTCTTGTTTGACTAATTAATAGTAAGGGACTAAATTATTTTGCAAATTATAGATTCAAAGAGAAATTCTGGAAGTATCTAATAATATTTAAATAGCAATAGTATTGTTAAACTAATATTATTTATATATATGCAGAAATATAACGTATATCACGGTAATTGTTAAAGAATGGTAACCAATAAAATATATCATGTACGACTACGATACATGTCATGGAAATTGAACTCGTATTCAGGTTCAAATAATCACGATCAAGTATTAACCCAACACCAAAGAAACCACACCATGTAACTTACCAATCCTTGAAGTCAGAATTGTTGATTAAGGTTTGGTTGCAGACACTTATTTAAAACTCACTCTTAAATTTTGGTCGATGTGCACACGACGGAAATTCAATTGGTAATGACTCTTCGTACCGCTGAAGGTTAATTTATTGTCGATCGACAGTGACCTGGAACTGTTGATAATTTTTTTTTTTTTTAGTTTTTCGAAAGTATTTTTCTATTATACTAATCAATAGTTTTTCGATTTCTATCGCAAGGTTACACTTTCATAAATCACTTTCAAAGTCACTTCTCTTAAGTGGTCTTTGTCCAAGATTGTTATAAATTATTAGTTAAAAATTTTAAATTACACTTAGAAGCATTACTTAGAAGAGAATTTATTGTTTAATTGTTACAAATAAAATATTAGAAATATTAAATAATATTTAAACAATTGGATTATTCAGAAATATTATTTAAAACTCACTCCTAAATTTTGGTCGATGTGCACACGACCGAAGTTCAATTGGTAATGAGCCTCCGTACCGCTGAAGGTTAATTTAATGTTCCGTGACCCGGAACTGTTGATAATTTCTTTTTAGTATTTCGAAACAGTTTTTCTATTATACTAATCAATAGTTTTTGGATTTCTGTCGCATGGTTACCCTTTCATAAATATGTTACAATGTCAAATGTAATAATTTATTAATTTTTTTATCCATAACTGGCTGAAACTAAATTTACACTTTCATAATTTTATTAATATTTAAGTTATAACTGCATTGATGTATATTAAATAGAAATTAATGTAAAGAAAAGTTATGTAGTCAGAAATCGAGTTAAGCAGAATAACATACAACAGAACAATAATCGAGAATAACATATAAGCGCAGCATATAAAAATTTTCGCTCGTTTATTGTTTCAGCAGGAAATATATGTATTATGTAACTATCTTTTCCGTTATTGTAAATAAAATAATTTAATTATTGTAAATGAATTATTGAAACTATAAAATAATGCTTGGGAATTCAATCACTAATTCAGTTGTTACAAGTAAGAGTTAAAATTGTTAGTATAAAAAAATATCATCGGAATACATTATTTTACAGTTTGAATAATTCACTTTGCAACAATTAATTTATTTCTACAATATTTCTAGACATTATTTAATAATTTTCACAACTTTTATACTAAAATCTTTTAATTACAATTAAACAATTAAATTAATCA